TTTGAATTTGGTAGCAGTTGTGAAATGAATGCTGAAGGTGAAAGGTATTACTTATAATCGTATATCATGTTCCTTGAAAGTTCCTGGATTGATGATGATTTGGAAAGGAAGAGGTGGGGTGGTGTGCCAGGACTATGCGCTACATTATGGTGGGTAAAGCGCTGAAATTACTAAGCTTGTATTGTCACAATAGCGCTTTAATGTTGACCGTAATCAGACGACATCCCTTTATGCAACGGTAATGTTCGATGACAGCTTTGATAGCGATGTCTTCAAAATTCACATAACGATGATGTAGTTGGTGGAGATGAAAGACAGCTTTCAAAGGAAGCAAAAGTATGATGATTCGTGCAAGTTAAGTTGGCATTGAACTTTCCAGAGATTTTGGTGAAGCGGGATGAACTACAGCAGATGAAGGAGTGGTATCTACTTCACCAAAACTCTGCTCCAGCATATATGGTTTGTACTTGTAAATTGCATATGAATTTTAATTGAAATGTTCCCGTTAGCTGCTGCTCAGTCTTCTGCCTTCTTTCGTTCCTTTTACATCTGCTCCTGGTCAGGAAATCATTGGGAACCCCACAAAGCTTATGCCTCAGCAGCAGTAAATCGATGCTCTGTGGCGATTTTCTTTTCCCTACTCCATGCTCCTATTCTAGTAGTCCTATGCGTGAGGTTTGGCGTTCCTTTTAATCACCACCTATTGCTTCGCAGCGAAGAGCACCAAGTGGCTATTTTAACCTCATGGGATTGTGAGATCACCCTCACAAAATTATCGTTACCTGACCCTACCAGTAGAGTATCTGGTGTTGGTAAAGCTTGGAGTTAACTCATGGCAACGAGCGGATCTGACTCGACTATTTTTCTTCGAAACCCGCAAGTATTGAATACACAGGCTACAGTCGTATTTTCAATACAAGTTGTGATGACTATCAGAGTTGGTGATCATTGAACACTTGGATATCGTATGCACTAGAATTCTCATCGTCCACACGTCACGAAGGTTACCGCAATAAAGCTGGTAATATGTATAGATAATGTACCCAGCTGTGATGAAGTTTCACCTGTCATAATCATTCTCATTGTATGTTTTGAATCGCTCTTGCGCCTTTCTTCATGCCGGGAGTGTTACCATTCTCTAGAACCTCACCCGCAATGTTGGAAGTGAGGTTAAACCCTACGCTTGCTTTTCAATACCGCATGGTAGGTATGCATAGTAAGATAAAGCACATGAGAAATTGCACTCACTACCTCAAAATTCCTTTTCAATTACAGGTTGAAGCCTGAAGAACTTCAAAAAGGAATCACCACTATCAGGCTAGAATTATGATGTCAAGCCACTTGCCTCAACATGTCGAAAATCATTCACCTCTTGCTCACCAATTATGGTTAAGTATTTGTGTAGTTCCTAATTAGGTATCGGGCCACTTACTCGAAGCGAAAATATTGACAATAATGTATGGGCAGCAAGTTTTGGTTCTCACTTGAGATATATTCTTTTTATCTTAATATTCGCAGAATCATTGACAAGATGAATCAATCACCTAAAGATGCTAGATGCAAAGGGAGTGACTCAAAGTGTAAGCTCTTTATGCACTTGCTCTTACATAAATACTAACACTGTACAATAATAGCAGGCCTTTTGGACAAATCAGTAACTCAAATCCATGAGAACCAAGAAAGATTGCTGGCTTGTGAGTGAACTCTGTATGCAGACTATGCCTCACAAAAATTCCTAATATTTGTCCAATTAACAGCAAACAATTCGGATGGCAGATGTCTCGGCGCGCTAAAGATAGATTTGGCTGCTGGTATGTTTTGATCTTGTCCTCAAAGTCCCTGGAATAAGACCAATAATTTAATTATCTCTTTGCTGACAAAAATCAGGATTGTCTGACATTCGAATCAAAGTTGAAGAGGAGCATAAAGGTACGTTTCAAGTCACAAAGAATCGAAATTCCTCGTAATTAATCTGATACACAGATTTTCTTGAATTGGTCGCACAGGGGAAAACCTTTAAAATGCAGCCAAGTCAAGAATTCGCATACAATATGATGCGTGGAAAGGGTGTCGGCACACGACCTGTATTTCCGCCTCCACGAGATGCTCCTAGAGATTTTGAGGATTACAGACCTACTGCAGATGTTGAGGAGTAAGTCATTCACTCGATCATTTGTCAACAACCCTGACGTGTATCTTCTAGTAATCTACAATCTGGCTACAAGTATTATAAGATTCGACCAGACTCCGATTTCAAAGACGCTGCAGCTCCCGAAGACCTTGCGCAAGGCATCAATCGACTAGCAATTAAGGAGCCTTCAAGATGTGAGATTGTTCTTGATTTGAAAGGTGACGAAGGCGAAACCACCAACCACTACAAGGGTAAAGAGGTCTGGGGAAATTTTGGTTATATCAAAGTCAATGGAGTGTGGGTAGATCCCGATAGCGAGAAGGACTTAGCGCATGCATTTAAGGGATATCCGGTTCTATCACCAGAGGAACTCCAAGGTGCTAGAGCCAAGGATGCTCGAATCATGAGTCCAGCTGAGGCTGATAAATTTTATGATTTCTTTAACGAATACGTCTCCGACGATGAAGGAGATCCTCGAGATAATCATATGTCGCCGGAAGAGTTTGCAAAGATGGTTCGTGGCACAGCCAGTGAGGGAAAAGGTGATACATGGGCTAGAGCAATTGTCGCTCCACAAGTAAGAATCTCTTAACAATAAAAAAGTCAGTAACTGATATTGTCCGAATCAGGAAAAATTTACAGATAGACCACGCGTGCCACGTAAACCTAAAACAGAACATGGAAATGATATGTTGCCACCGCAAATTGACAGAGATACTGGCAGTTATTACTCCGGTTTCGGTGGTGATAATTCTGATACGGCCAGCCTTCTCATCTCGGCAGCTGGTTAGTATTTGCAAATACTTGTGATCATTGGCAACATCTGACTAACTCGATGCTTCGCAGGTGTTGACATCCTTCAAAGACCCGAACACTTCAATCGCATGGACCCCCAAACTGACATGAAAATTCTTGCTGAGGCATATGGCAGCCCCAATGCTTTCAAAGATGACGGTGGATGGTCTGATACAACAACACTTCCTGTTTTCAATACAGTGAGTTTGATTCGTCTTCATCTTTCTGCGCATTCTAGGAACTGACAAGTGGACAGAAAGCAGCTGCCAAAGCTATCACCTGGGATATTCCTGGTTTGACTGATGAGCAACGCGAACGAGGCTTGGCTGATATGACATTAAGGGGAAAAGCACATTTCCAACATAGTCAAGTAATGGCAAGAAACAGAGACGAGCTTAAATCAGAGAAGATGATTGCTTTTAGCGGTCTGGCAGGTTGTATGAGGGAGCACTACTTCATCAAGCGATTCCTGGACAACAATCCTTCATTTGCCAATGAAGAAACTCGCAGATTGGTGGATTCCATTTGTTTGGAGACCCCATTTAGACGCATTGAACGCACTATGATCAGCAACGATGATCCTGCTCCCAAGACGACCGCTGATCCATATATCGGACTCAGTCGCGAAGACCGTACCTATATGCGTTTGATCAATGATATCTACCAAGACACTCATAACCTTACTCTTCATCTTCAAAATCAAGTCATGGTCTGGGGTGCTACCAAAGCCGAGATTGAGATCAAGATTGGCGAATATTATTTCTTGCGCGAGCGAATCATGACAGCCTCTGGTATGAATAACGAGTTCATTGAAAGTCTCATTCCTGTCAGTGCTCCTAGAACTCCTCGAGTCAACTTTTAGTGGGGTTTCTGGCTCACGCATATCTTGGTTGCTCATTATGCTCTGTCGCTACCATTCGATTTCGCTATTACGAGCTGTTCCTCTCGCTTTTGAAGATATATGTGCCCAGCCTTGGCAGTCAATATCTCGATCAACAGCTGCTTCTTCATTACGACATACAAAGAACCACAAAGTTTGCGTCTTCAAAAATTGCTTTTTACTTTTACTTTCGCAGAACAACTTCCATGCATCTATCGCTCTTTAGGAATGCTCGCGATAATTTTACTTTACGATTTAGATACAACAAACCCGCTTTATGATCATTCTTCGACGCGCAAATACGGACTGTTCGCTACTTCTACTTCTACAGATTTCCAATTTTGAGTCTTTCCAGCAAGTATTTGGGCAGGCATTGGTGCCTCTAATCTCAATCTATGATCCTGCGCTATTGGAGTATCAGAAGATCCACGAGATGACGCATCATGGGCCCAATTCACATCGCCATTGCTCTCGCTCGTCCATTCGACTACAATGCCTAGAATTCTACACACAGGCCTCCTACTTCAATACGTTTTCTTTCCAATTTTCTTTCGTTTCCCTTAGCTTTCATTTGTTCTTCAATTATGAACTTCTCCTTTCTTTTTTCTTGTTCTAAGAATGGGATATTCGGATGCAGTATTAATATTTGCTAATGAATTTCGATAACGATGATGGCCATACCACGCAATGCCCTTCATAAGTCATACTTTGAATAGTGTATATGCCGACCGAGGACATCAGTCACAGTTTCATGATGGCAGGATGGATAGATGAATGAATATCGGGGGGGTTTCTCTTCGTTGGGCATACTCGGATAGTTTTATTAAGATGGGATACCTAGTAGCTTAATTGAAAGTTCTCCCCCGCCCCTTTCGTGCACTGTTGTTTCCAGATAGATGTGGGTGCCATACTACTCGATATATTTTTCGACAGTCTTCTCAATATCACAATAACATGAGATGATTTAATTGGTATTTATTAGATACAAAAAGTAAGGTGAAAATATGCTTAGAATACTAAGATGAAAATATGCTTAGAATACTAAGATGAAAAGATTAGAAGAGATTCTAAGTTACGATAATATACGGGATATATATTGGACGATGAGACTTAATGATGGTCGCGTGGTACGGAATCGACCGAACCGGCTGTTCCATCACAATGGGGACTTTAGAATGTAATCGCTACTTTCGACTAAGTTTGAGTCAACTCGAATACCTCGCCGCCGTTAACAGAGAAGCTCGAGCCGTGCACCACCTTCCCATTCAGCATCCATGTTGCGTTCGCGTTTTGACGGCTCCAAAGCACAGGAATATTCACAGTTCCGTTTGTTCCGTTGGGACTAGTGACATTCATACTGAATTTTCCCTCTGCACCCACTGCCCAAGATACTGCCAAATCACCATGAGGTGTGGGGTGTGTACCATTGGCCCAACTGAGTCCGAGAGTTTGCGGCAAAACTTTCCACTGCGCAAATCCAGGTGTAACGGTCTGGATTCCAAGGACATTTCTGCTCAGTTCACTCGTTGGAGCGGAAGACCAAGCATGGCATAGAGATGTAGTTGCTCCTAAACCGGGCTCCCCAGTGGTAGTTAGAGTCTCCCAGAAGCAGCCAGTGTAGTTGGCATTGGATGTGCTGGCCATAGATCCCCAAATTGTGAACAGGAGATGTTTGACGCTCTCCTCATCGTTGGCAGCGAAAGCGGCGCGCAAATGATATCCTGACGAATAAGGACTAACACTTTGCTTGAAGCCACGTGCAAGACTGCCGTTGGAAAATGCTAAGGCACCTGCAGGTAAGAATAGTTCCTTTGACATGGTCGATAGGATGGTGGAAGGAGTAATGTTGCCCTGAGGTACATTTGCTAAGATTGCATAGGCGTTTGCATCCTGCGCAAGCGTGTCTTGAACGGAATCTGAAAGTTGATACGCGTTCAACGTGGGATTCCATAACTTTGCATTAATTGCGGATTTTAATGCCGCGCGTCGATCTGCATAAGTTTTTGTACTGATATTTGCGGCATTGAGCAAGGGTAAAACTTGCTGCAGAGAAAATGCATATAAAGCATTGAGTTTTGCTACTGCGCCAGACTGTGCGGGATCGTAATAGTCCCAATCTCCGCCGAGCATTGTAGATACACTGAATAAGCCTGATGTATCTAGTTGCGTATCTGACCAATCCAGCATTCTGACTATTGTTGGTGCCCAGCGCTTCGCGAAATCCACATCGCCAGTCATGAGATGGAATTCCGCCATGGCAGTGAGCAGATTGAATGAGTAGCCGATAAGACCGGTCTGGTTGAAAGGGATTATTGAAGTGCGAGAAGCTTGTTGTATCTTAACGTTCGGAACAAAGAAGCCAGGAAGTAGCTGAGAGGCCCCTAGTAGATTAAAAGTTCCGTTGATAAAGTCAATACCATTGATTGACGCAAAAATCGGTCCAACAGTAATGTCTAAATCTCCTGCGTCTGGTTAGCACCAATCTAAACATGCGGAAACTGATTTCTTACCAGCGTACGAAATACGATCCCGCCGTGCACCATCAACACTCACAGACTCCGGATTTGTTCCAGAAAGGAAGTCTTGTAGTACAGACGATTGTGTGAGACTAGCATTGTATATGAGTTGTCCCTGAAGACCCTGCAATGTCACATTTTGGAAATATGCCGATTGCCCAAATGATGCCCCTAATCCAAAAGACCCAGCAAATGCTGAAGTCTGTGTGAAATTCATTAATGAGTAATCATCAATGCTAACTTCGATTTGCGTCATGTTGACGAATGTTGAGACTTTGTGCCACTCATCAAAGGCAAAGTTTGGATACAGAGGAGCTGAAGCTAAGGCAGGTGAGTCTCTTTCAGTGCTTCCAAGGTGCGCCGAAATTGAAGAATTTGCCAAGTTTACGAATATATAGATGCCCGAGCCCAGCGTATCGCTGAGTACCGTGTAGCCAAATCCTCCCTTCATTGGCATAACTGAGAAATCGAGCTGATACTGCATCAGTGACGGTGAAGTGTCACTAGAATAGGGCTGTGGGGATTGATTTTCAGCAAAAAGCCCCTGATCTGAGACCAGATAATAGTCAGGTATAGTTTCTGCTGGAATCCCTGTTAATTGTAAAGTTCGCGCCCCTGTCTGCCATATTTGATTCAATCTATCGTCTGAACACTTGAAAGATCCAGGTAACTGGTCTATTGGGGTGGTGGATGTCAATGAGATAATGCCAACATTTTCAAGAACAAGTTCGCCAGCTGTGGAAAGATTAAGCTTCTGATATCGTTGACCTCCTTGAATTAAACGGTTGGTAAATGCAGTATCTTGGGTGATATTGTACCGATTTACTCTGTATGTGTCGAGTGATGCTGCCAGAGTCAAAGGTCCATCGCTCTAAAGTAGTTAAATGAGCATATTAATCAATAATATGAAAAGTAGTAAAGAATATAGGAAGTTGAGCATTAAGATCAACGTACCATGTAGTCATCCAGCAATTTTCGACTCTCGCTGTAAGTCATCTCAAAGATAGATGTATTACCAGAATGTGAAACGACTTGAAAGGTTGGAAGGCCTCCAACGTTCGTGCCATGGTCGATAATTACAATGCCTGGGGTTATGCCATCAGATTGAATTGTAATTTTGCTTTCGCAAAAACTTCCTGCTCCTCTTGTGGGCGTGTTGTTCCTTGCGCCAAGCTGTCGAGGATTGAGTGTAGCTGCAGCAATTTGGGCTTGACAAGTTGATGAAGAACCAATGGCAGCAACAAGCCATCCGCTTCCTAGGAGGATTATCGTCGGCACAAGACCAGTGGCTGCGAACATAGTTTAAATGCAAGAGATGTGTTTCGTGAAAATAATTGAATCATAGACTTCTAAGGATTAGAGAAGGTTGAGAAGAAGATTTCTACATATTACAGAGAGTACTTCTGGATTATATAGGTTTGACAGATGAGCAACAAACTTACCTTGCATGTATGAGTTAATTTACATTCTAATTTAGAAAGGGCATAACGTAATTTAACACCGAGTAGGCCATATCATCAAATGGGCCACTTCAAAATACACCAAAATTAATGCGTTTTTAATATTTGTATTTTAATAATCAATTATTATTTTTTGAAAAAAAAATTAATATAAAATAATAATGAAAATTTAACGCTTTATAAATCTAGTCTTGATATAAAAATTTCTTTTATATTCTAAAGAAATGGAAATTGTTATGATTTTTATTAAAAATTTTTTTTAATAATAACTATTATAGTAATTTGAATTTCCAATAAATAATTAGATTTTCATATTGTTTATATAGCTAAATTTTATAGTTTCAATTTTTAGAAAATTCTTTCTATAAATAAAGAAAGTGCACGGTTACACACAGACGAATTTTGTATGTAAAAATGATGGCCCACTTGGTGATATAGCCCACTCGGTGTTAAACTACGTTATGATGAATGAAGATTCAGTCACTCATTAGGGGTAAAATAGGCCACAATCCACCACGCCACCCAAACCTCCAATTGCCAAAGGGAGTAGGCCCACTTGAATAGTCCTCGTTACATCTACATAGTATTTGCATAAGTTAATGGATTTATACTATAAGCAATAATCATCAATTGAAATAAAGTCTTATGACATCATGGTTCATTTGTGGATTATTCGTATTATGGTGAAAAATTCAAGGATGACAATAGATGATGTATGCCATAGATTTGAAGCACGCTAAGAGTATACTGCCGGTATCCAAGTCCATCGTACTCGCTTAATATATGCCGTTAGTCTCATCACCGTACTCGCTTAAGATATACCGCCCGTCTGATCGTCGTACTTGCTCGAATGATGCCGGGATCGGGCGACTTAGCGGCAAGACACCTTGGCAATTAATCTGAGGGATCCAAGCTAATCTGTCAAGTGGCATTTCATAAACCGTCACACCCCAATTTTCCAGCAAAGACCTTCCAACCGTCTGGTACTCAAAATCTCCTTCAAAACTTAGCATTTCATTGCAATTCCAAAGCAGCAACAGTACCAAACTTATTGTCTTGCAATATGAGTGACAAAGTCAAAATTCGGATAGATGATTTCAAGATTCAGGTTCTGCCCGTTCCCTCTAACCAACTGGACGACAGATGACGGTCGGCTTGAAGTTTGCGTAAAGACGAAAGCAACAAGCTCAGATCTACTTCCACCAATACTTCCGGATAACAGCACCCCTCATGCGGCATTGGTGTCGGCATATTCTGTCCACCCTCCGCTTATATCGTCATCCAGATCGTCGGTAGTAGAGGTATACTGGCGGGAGCACGGAAGCAAGTATGTTGCTTACACGATTACTCTCTACAGGCGATGTACAACCTTTCATTGCGTTGGGACAAGAGCTCAAGGTTAGTGGACACCGCATTCGCATAGCAACTCATGGAAATCTTAGAGACTTCATCGTGTCGCCGAAACTAGAATTCTTCCCTATCGGCGGCGATCCCGCTGGTCTTATGGCCATGTGTTCCTCCATTCCCTCCTATGACTTAAGGCAACTCACATCCGTAGCACATGGTTAAAAATCCGAGTATCATAAGCACTTTCGATACGCTACGATCAGGAGACATTGGACGCAAGCGCAAGATGATTCTACGCAATGCTCAACGGTTGCTGGGAATCATGCATCATGCCACATCTCACAACAGGCATACCTTTCGTCGCTGACGCGATTATCGCGAACCCACCAAGCTTTGCGCACATTCACTGTGCCCAAGCGCTCAGTATACCATTGCATCTTATGTTTATTATGCCATGGAGTCTGACACAAGCATTCCCATACTCCTTAGCGAAAATATAGAATGGAGATGCAGATCCAAGGACGGCCAACTATCTATCGTATGGTCTAGTTGACATGATGACTTGGCAAGGGTGAGTATGTTTTGAGGAAATCAAATCAATTTACTAATTGCTATTGCAGCTTGTCTGATGCGATCAATCTGTGAAGAAAGAAGGCATTGAATCTAGAGGCCGTTTCTGCTATGGCTGGTATGGGGCTTGCGGAGGCACTGAAAATTCCATTTAAATACTGTTGATCTCCAGCGCTGATATCGAAGCCTGTAGACAGGCCATCATAAATTGGTAAGCTACTAAGATTGGTCTGGAAGAAGAGCTAAATCGATTGGCAGATGTATGCGGCTTTTTCTTCCACGAGGAAACTCCATATACTCCAGATAGAGAGCTAGCAGAGTTTCTGAAATCAGGCCCTTTGCCAATTTATATTGGCTTCGGAAGCATTGTTATAGAAGATATTGCGAAGATGATTGAGATAATACTCGAGGCCAATAGAGCGTGTGGCGTGAGGGCTATTTTTTCTAAGGGCTGTAGTAAGCTCGGAACGAATCTTTCAGACCCTAATGTTCTTTTTATTGGTGACTGTCCGCATGCTAAGAGAATTTCTGCACTGGCCTGTGAGTGTTCGCTAATTATGCTATAGAATGGCTTTTCAAGAACGTCTCAGTCGTCATCCACCATGGTGGAGCAGGAACTACGGCATGTGGGCTGTTGAACGGCCGTCCGACCTCAATCATACCATTCTTCGGCGAGTTCATAATTTCCTCCCGTTCTAGGTGTATATTTGAGGTCTTCTGATTACTGACAGGTTCAGTCAACCTTTCTGGGCAAATATGGTAGCCGCCACTGGCGCCGATCCACAGCCTATACACTTTAAAGCTCTCGACAGTGCAAAACTAACTGCCGCCATTCGCATCTGCCAAGCGCCCGAGACTGTTAGAGCAACCGCCTTGATTGCTGCTCGAATAAAAGATGAACGCGGGGTCAAAGAGACTGCCAATTCGTTCCATCGCAACCTACCGCTTGATGCTATGAGATGCGATTTATTTGGAAGCCAAAATGCTGTATGGCTTTGGAGCAGGATGGCTTACTAAGTCAAGTTATCCTATAGAGCTGCATATATATCACAGCTAAGAAGGACGGCAACCTTGGATTTGCAAAAGGTCTTGCTAAGGGGACCGTGGGTCTCAGAACTAAACCTGGAGCTGGTACGTATTTCAGATCTCATCTGAAGATTGTCCGTCCTCTCTCTTATTCTTCCTGACATAACTCCGAGTCAGAACTCTGAGCTGACTTTAGGGGCAGCAATTTTTGGTTTGATGACCTACCCGGCCATGGGCTCGTACTAGAGCATTAATGAGATTGGGCTTCCAACGGCTCGAAAACGGATCTTGAAAGGGAGGCAAATGTTAAGTGCGTATATGAATGGAAAGACGCCCCCGTAGGAGGCTGAGATTGGAAGCGTGCTTGTACAGTTTGAGCCCAAGAAAAGAAATGGATGATTGATTTATTGGTGTTGCTGTCGTCAGTCGTGTGTGTATTATTATATCACGTGAATTAGCCTCCAGGGAGCGCCAGGATCAGTTTGTATGGGCAGAATGATTCTGTTAGTGGTAAAACAAAGCGGTGTAACATAACTTATTCCATATGGCTCCCTATAGAAAGAAGCAAACCTCGAATCTATAAACACAGTGGAAGTGCCATCTTTTTTTCTGTTGTTTTACTTGCATGCCATATTTCCACGACTACCTGCTCGAACCAGAGAGCTAGAAGATATCAATTAGAAAGCATGTCCCGTGAAAGTCACTCGCCTCAGGTCTTTGCTCAGCCCGAACTCTTGTGGCAGGCATTCTAGGATTCTGTTCCTTCTTTATTACCGGTACTGTCTTGTAACAGAGCCTTCAACTCCTTTGCCATACCGTGGACAACTGTTCAGAATTGGCAGGCTAAAAAAGTGCCCGGCCCACTGATCTATGGATATGTTCGACCGACTCATTGAACCACATAAGTTACCTAAGCCACGATTCATGGAGCTAGAGTTTGTCTCACCGCCTTTGTTCCCCTAACCTGATATGGTATGGCCTGCCAGCTCCCTATACTCGTATGTATGTTGCTTCCGCAGCAGAATCCCTGAAATAACCTCGGAGCCTTTTAGGACTTGTGCTGCGCCATGACTTTGCAAGATTGACTCCCATCCCATTGCTGGCAACATTGGCATGCAAGTGTGATACAACTCTACATTGGTTCTCAAGCATCTGTCCACTTACCTTATTTTAGGTTGTCACTCCCATAACACCAAAACTAAGGTCGCTTTTACCCTGTACTCGGCTACCTGCTGTAACCTTACTCAAAATGCGGCCGAGGCGACCTCACACAAAGAGTCGACATGGTTGCATACAGTGCAAAGCCTCTCATATCAAGGTAAGTCCGTGGTTTGAGGTCCTTTTGGATAAAATCTTGACAACATTATAGTGCGATCAAGGTCATCCTACGTGTGGGTCATGTAGGAAGAAAGAAAAGAATTGTACTTATGGAGTGCGGCGGAAGGATAAAAGTCAGGCATCTAAGCCTTTCCTCCTTCCACCCACTACCTCGACCGCCTCCGAGCAAGAACGCGAAGTCTCTGACATTTCTACAACCTACAGCGTAGCTTCTGATCCGGAATCTACTTTTTCAAGTCAAATTTCTATTCCTCCGCATCTCTCACGTGCGGAGACTGGTGCTTCAATCCTTTGGGAAGATCTAGAACTCATGCATCACTTTGTTACCGAGACTTGCCTGACCTTTTCCTGCAAAAATCCATTTCAGAATCTATGGCGAACCACGATCCCAAAAATGGCTTCTGATCACCCGTTCATGATGCACGGTCTTCTGAATATCTCCGCCCTTCATCTCGCGTTTCACAATCCCGCCAAAAGAGACCTATATCTTGCCTCGGCAATCCGACATCATGACATTTGCCTCTCGCTGTATCGATCTGAATTACATAGCATTACACCAGATAACTGCTCTGCGATGTTCATCTGTTCTATATTGATATATATAGGTGCTCTCGCGTTTCCTATCTGCAGCAACAATTCCTCTTCATCAATGCCCTCTGACTACTCCCACCTTCAACAGCAGCAGCAATTAAATAGCCCCATTCAGCTGGCTTCCAGTGTCTTCACTCTTCTCCAAGGTGCCTTCACAGTACTTCAAATCTCCTGGCATTGGCTAGAAAATAGTGCCATCTCTGCCCTTCTCCAGAATCGCTTCCAGTTTTGTGAAGTCGAGTCGAGCGCCAAAGTTTGTCCCCACTCTTCGGACTCGGCCTTTAGGCTTCTTTTGGCACGCATCGAGTCAATGTCATCGCGGTCAAACCTATCTCCATCAACATCGTCTGCGCAACAATCCTATTCATCTCGGCACAAATCTCCTTCTCCACTCTCCTCTGAAGAATTGAGTGCCTACAACAACGCCATCAGCACTCTACGAGATGTCTTCGTGCTTCTAAACTCAAGTAAAGCCGACAATGGAGTTGTCCTAATATGGCCCTTTTTACTTGATGCAGAACGGGGCTTTATAACGCTGCTGAAGGAGATGCGACCGCTCGCATTATTAATTTTGGCACATTTTGGAGTGGCACTTCATGCTTCTCGGGGTGACTGGTTCATTGGAGAATGGGGACGAAACCTCATTTTTGACGTAAAGAAGACTTTGTCCCTAGCAGGGGACGAAGCTGAGTTTCAGGAATTGATGGCTTGGCCTTTGGAGATGGTAAGGACTGGTGAGGGACCGGACAGGAGTGACGTAAATATATAAAGTTCGAGAGGCTCCGAAATTCTATCGTATGAGAAAAGGTCAGATGGTTGAAGGCTTACTGACACCAATTTCTTGTTGTCAGTGCCTGGTAATTTCCCTGTACAGGAAGTTTGCCAGGATCCACATGCCAAAGGTAAATGGTTCACATACTAGCAATTCTACCAGATTCGCAACTTGCCACCGACTTAAGGTAGAAGCTTGAGAGAGGACAAAAGGGTAAAAGATCTTAGTTCTCCGAAAGCTTTGAGCCTGATCACTGTGATGAAATTGAGTCGACAATTTCATATAAGAGGCTTGAAAATTGTATATGATTGAGAGCGGTAGGCGCGCACAAAGTTAATTTGAGCTTATAGAAATCGAGGACTTCGGTCGGTTCTAGATTTCAGAACGTGAAGTCAAGCGACACAGGAGTCTCAAATATCCACACAAAATCTGTGGTCAAAATTTGTAATCATAGGTTTTAGCTTTTTGGAATGTTGGGCGAGGGTTCCGAGGGTGGAACGAAAATGTTTAATTTGTCCACATACTATATGGGAAAACCCTAAATTAGTTAACGAACGAATCAAATCACAATAAAAGTAATGATTAAGATTATGTTCGTGTATACATCGGATTGGTTCCACTCCATGCAACACTAATGAATGGATGCATAAGACAGCTGGAGCTGCTTGTTACACGATAAGCGAGAATGTTGATTCAGCTGCGTTGTCATTGGTCTCAAAAATTACCAGTACGGCACCACAGAAACGGCATTCCTTCTTTACTGCCTCATCACCTTTATCTCAAGTTTCATGTAATCAACGAAAGCTTGCAAATTTAATTCTATCCAAAGAAAAAGCAATAGACTTGAGTATTTCTTACCAAAATTCCTACCATGCCCCTCAAGATCATCATCGTAGGAGCTGGCATCGGTGGCTTCACTGCGGCAATTGCTTTAAGGGAACAGGGTCATGAAGTTACTGTACATCTGTCCAACCCATTTCTCACCCCTATTAGCCATGCTTCGTTGCAAGAAGCTAAGCTTGATCACTGGTTTCCAAGCTCACGAGGATAATACAGATTTTCGAACAATCCCAATTTGCCTCGGAATATGGTGCTGCGATTCATATTCAACCGAATGCGAACGGAATATTGAAAAGATTGGGTGTATTTCTGGAGGAGAGCGGCGCAAATTCTTTGCATTGGGTGAGCTTAGAGATTCTTTGCTTTCGACTTCTGTTTGATAATCTTCTTATTATCTTTGAAGACCATGCCTATTCATACTGGTCACTCACTAATATGAATTGTACAATCTAGATGACAGAGTACACATCATCCGGCTCATTGAACCGGACTATGGATCTAATTGAGGAAGACAAGCAATGGCATCATGTATCTCCCCTTAGCTTCCATTCCTTCAAAAATCTAACTGATTTTTCATTAGCCCTGGTTCCTAGCCCACCGCGTGCAACTCCACTCCCATCTTAAATCCAAAGCCCTCACTTTATTTCCCCCACACCCTCCCATTACCCTCCTCACCTCCCACAAAGTAACCACTCTCGATCCCACTACATCCACCGTGTATTTCTCAAACGGTACATCCTGCACCGGCGATCTGATCATCGGTGCAGATGGCGTCCACAGCCTCACTCGTTCCTTTGTCCAAACCCCAGATAGCAAAATCTCCCCTTTCGCGTGTGGAAAAAGCGCTTATCGTTTTCTTCTCTCTCGTTCCTCCGTTCTTTCTAACCCCAAAACTGCAAAATTCATGCAGAAAGATGGGGAACTGATCATGTGGTTTGGGACCGATCGGCGCGTGATAATTTATCCAACTTCTTCTAATTCCTTACTTAATTTCGTTTGTTTACATCCTGATACATTGTCTGAAAATACGGATAATGGAGAGGGATGGGGAAAGGGAGGTGATAAAAAGAATTTGTTGAAGATTTATGAGGGTTGGGATGAAGATATGTTGGAGCTGTTGAGAATGGCTCCTTTGTCTGATGCCTCTGATACAAATGCAACCGGCGCCCTCAAAGTCTGGCGTCTTCTTGACATGCATCCACTCCCCACTTTTACAAAGGAAAATCTTGTATTGCTAGGCGACGCAGCACATCCATATCTACCTCACCAAGGTCAGGGGGCCGGCAGCGCTATTGAAGATGCAGCTGCTTTAGCAGTGGTTCTCTCGGGCGATGTGAGAAAAGAAGATATTCAAGAACGGTTGAAATTGTACGAGGAAATCAGAATGGGGAGAGCTCATCGGATTCAGGAATTTTCGAGGGTTTTAGGAAGAGATCCTGGGGAGGGAAATGATGTTATTATTGATAGTGCGTCATTTTTCCCTATAGTTTTTTTTACATCATCATTCTTTTTTGGTATATCTTCATCTCATACTAATATTTCTGTCTAGTTCGCCAATTCGTGAACCACAACTTGCAGCATGACGAATGGGATAATTCTACCCATGAACTCCGAAAATGGATGTGGAAACGCAATCCTCATCTTTCTGCTTACTATTTAAGACCCGCTAGTTTTGGTACGTCTTCACTAACCAAGTTATCACTCTAATCTCTAGCCCATCTTAATCATGCCCCATCTTTTAGGACCCCTCCCCTCTCCCGGTCTTCCTCATCAATATACAACCAAACAGACCTCGTCAGGACCTGGAACCTCATCAATTTTAAACCCCCACCTCAATTCCGCCCTCACAAAAACCACAGCAACACTAACCTTCACCACCTCACGCACACTCCTCCAAAACTTCTTCCCCATCGATTCCGACAAATTTCGCATTATCCATCCAGGATGTATCTCAACCGCTTCTTGGCGCTGGACTCGTTGGGTATTCGATACCCCAGAAACATCCACAGATGTGAATCTAGATGCCTCTCCAGAGACATACGAGCAACTATGGTTTTGCATCGAGAATGTGGAGTACACTACAGACGAAGGAAATACTCTGCAAGGAACATTCGTACCGATGGTTTTTGAGACTACTTCTTTGTATAGATCTGCGACGCAAATTATCAAGAGTGATGATGAGGAAGAACATGATGCCGAGATAGCTACACATGAACTCCTCATTTGTAGTCGGGAAACGGGCCAGCGGATTGTGAATTTGCGGCTGGAAAATCTGGTAGCAGTTTCTAGAGAAGAGAAGGATAAGGATAAGGACGGAGAGCAAAAGAAAAAAGATACAAAAACCGAAGAAGAAACAAAAGGTCTCCTATCATGGCGATACGAAGAAACCCTTTCTTCCGACACAGATATCAAACTTAACCCTACAACGCCAACTCCAACTCCATCTCTCCCCCAGGGAAAAATTCACTACACGCCTGTCCTTGCTCCTCCCTCTTCAGCATATATTTCTACCTCTTTAGAAACCTCCACACCCCCATTCTCATCGTTCAATGTCAATCACCATGACCATGAAGATACCGACAAGATCCCGTGCGAAATTAAAGGTTTCATGTCGAGTCCGGAACTTGCACCTGCTCGTTTGCATGATGAGTATGATGATGGGGAGAGGGAGAAAGGAAAGGAGAAAGAGAAAGAGAAAGAGAGGAGGGATGTCATAGAGACTATGGTTAAGAGATTGGAGGAAGTATCTTGCTATGAGGTTTTGGGCGCGAGGATGGAGGTTATGGAGATGGGGGGTTGAGATGCAGGAGAAGAGTAGGTAGTTGGCTGGCTGGCTTGGAGCGTAGGTAAGTACAAATTCTAGTCGAAATTTAGTCAAAATTAAAGAGCTAAATATTCCAAGGAGGTGTTGGTTACGGTTTCGAAATGGGTTGGGTATCTATGCTATGTACTCGAGTATATCTGTTTATGATATTATGAACATGGGATTGTGATTGTGATTGTAATTGAAATGAAGAGATTTTTGATTTTATACATTTGGATATATATAATCTTAAAATACCGACTGATTGCTGGTTTCTCATCAATTGCTCTTGTTTATCACTATTTGTGTCATCATCAATCACATTCTTTTCCATATCCCATATGTATCATCAATCGGTTTATTTTGTATTTTGTATTTTGTATTTTGTACTTTATATTTATATGTGTATCATAATCTCTACCTTCAGGCCTCGTAACCAGTTTCCAAAAAGGAAAGATCTCCATAAAGAGAAAAGAAAAGAAATGCAAGTCTATCCGGAAGAATCAAATCCCCTCATCATCATCATCTCCTCTCAAACCCCTCGTTTCTTCGCGCCCCCTCTCGGAGTCGGCGTACCTCTCCCGGAAGCGCCACCTCTCGAGCCACCCCGAGTACCTCTCGTACTAGGCGTACTAGGCGTACCCGCCGCAGGTTTCGTGGGCGTCTTCGGCGTGGGCGTCGTTCTTCCTTCTCCTACTGTAGTCGGTCCCGTGCCCGCAAACGCCGTAATCACATTCTTGGCCGGTTTCTTCTGTGTCACTTTACTAACCAAGCCTCCGAAATCCATCGTGTGGATCGATTCCTCCAATTCGCCCAGACTAGCTGCTTGAATGAAGAGGACTTTGCCGGTTGTGAAGCCGTCTTCGAGTAACCTAGTGAGTTGTGTGTCGCGGAAGGGGATTCGCGGTTGGTTTGTTCCCATGGATGTGAGCACCGATCTTAGTGCAGAAAGTTCGGCGTTAATAGCCTGAGTTTCTGACACGCGATCAGTGACATTTTTCAAGGATTCAGAGCCGGCGAGATCGACGAATGTGATTCCGGCGCGGGTGGTGGTGATGGCGCCCGATTGTTCGGTCTTGGATGCTTTTACCTGGAAGGATAAAAACATGTGGGATCGGGATGAAGTGTCGTTCTTCGCGGTTTGACCTGAGGTACGATTCTTGTTTATTTCTTGGACCATTTCTTGAACGGATTCAAGAGTGTGGAGAGGAGCGGTGTGTACTTGAAGCAACTGATCGCGGATGGGCCACATGCCGCTACAGTCGGTCGGTACCTTTAGTTGTTCTCTTGCTGGCTTGAAAAGATCGTAGACCTTTTGTTCGTATACTTCGATGCAACGGCCCTGGACGCTGTGGTCTGATCCGTAGGATTTGGCCAGCTGAGTGAAAATTTGTTCCATTGCCATGTCGAGCATAGCACTCATGGTGTATGTTTTCCCGGAGCCAGTTTGTCCATATGCAAGGATAGTAATATCGTAGCCTTGAAGTGCAGCTTCCAGAATTTCGCTCAAGTCACCAAACACAACAGCATTGTTGGATTCAGGGGCAAAGACACGATCGAATTTGAAGGTTTTGGCAGTGCCATGTCGATCAAGGACTTCGACAGAATCACCACCCATGATAGAGATAGGTTGCTTGCCGAGAGTGCCTTGCGGAGGTCTGATTCGCAACCAAGATCGGAAATTACCCTTGCTTTCGATTAGCTCCAGCTTGAGCTTCTTCACAAGGATTCCCATCTCTTCTAACTGCCTCTCTGCAGCTTCTTTCTGGGAGACCAGACTTTGCTTCATGCAAGCCATTTCGATTCCAAGATCATCTTTCACCTCTGTGAGCTCTGCCATCTCCTTTGCGTGATTTTCAGCCATATGTCTTGCTTTAAGAGTCAATTCTTTGAGTTGCACCTTTGCAGCATGTAACTCTTCTTGAAGCGCTAAGACTTTCGAATTCAAGATGGTGATCTCTTCTTTGTCGGCTGCGCTATCCTTGATTCTGATGCTTTGGATGTGAGCTGCATCGATGGAGGGACTTGGAGGCTGTGGCGCTGCTGCTCTGGCCTCCTCTGACTCTCGCAGTTTCCGATTGCTTTCGGTCAATTCTCTGAAGAGTTTTGAGATCATCTCATCTTTGGATATTTTGTCTAGAGAAGATGTTTCATTGCTTGTCTGCAACGCACCAGCCTTGGCTTTAACAGTTGCAAGTTCGCTTTCCAATCGGGCTATTAGCAAATTTTGCTCGTGTACTTTAGCTTGATGTTCTTTGACTTTGGCAATATTTTCGTCGACTGCCCTGCTTAGAACTCTATTATCCTCGGTTTCTTTATCGATATTTTCACCCAAATTTCTGAGGATCTCGTTTTGAGTCTCTAGCTTGAAACTCAATTGTTCGATTTCTGGAGCAAGGTCTGTCCGTATTTCAGCCTGGGGTATCGTCGTTTGTCTTCCTAGTCTCGAGAAGATAGACCGATTCTGTTGGGAGTGTGACACGGTGGCTCTTCCTTTGACGCTTTGCAATTCGTTCTCGTTGTTTCGCTGCTCTATCCGAGCTATCATCAACGAAGCTCTCATCTGTTCACCACTCTGCTTGCCCGCACTTCCATGGGGGTTGAGCTTCGCAGCTTCTGGTTGGGCCACGGGAACTTCGGTTATGTTCTTTTCTTCTTCGTTGGGTGTAGTGGGCTTGCCACTTTTGCCTGCTTCGCGCGCGCGGATGGCTGCAAATTGTTCTCTAAGAGTCTTTTTACCCGACATTTTGAAAATTGTTATGAAGTATCGATGTTTGAGAGATATAGCTGATTGTATTCGAGGATATAGATTTCAAGCATGAAAAGCCCACGCATTATAAATGCGCATGGCTTCTTTGTCTTTGCACTGTTGAGAAATAGTTTCAATATCTGATATCTAGATTACCTCTTTGATATTGAGCAGCCGACAAAGGTTGACCTAAATTGGACAAAGCCAGAAGTAGTCTACGAAAACAAAAAAGAACGTTATTCGATCCTCGGCAGTGTTATCGCTTTGTCCACTTGTGAACAGGCTTGAGAAAGGCAACAAGTCCTGAGAGAATCTGGGAAAATCTTGCAAGCGCATGATGAATGTGACCTCCCAGAATGAACCTCAATTATAGATGGAAAGAAGTTAAAGACTACGAGACAGTTTGATAGATCGTCAATTTTGACCGAAGCCGATAAGCATTCATTGATTTGATGATCCATTGGTATGGTATTGCGCCTCCGCAGTGCTGTCTTGTCATGATTAGCTGTGAGAGTCAAAATCAGTGTCAGGATTCATCAATCGTTGCGTAAGAATATTTGCATAAAGTACCAAGTGCTGACGTCTGATTTTATGAGGCATGTAAATAGTTGAACGAGGGCAGCAGTGATTTTCGGATAATTGGAGATCCTTGGCATGTATACGATAATTTCAACCTCAGCGCTACTGAGCGGTAGCAATATGACCTAAGCTTTCATCTGTTGCTTTCTATCGAACATCGGAGTCAAGATATCGATCTTTCGGGTATAGCAATATTTATATGATAATAATGGTGTCCTGTCTCGAGATTTCTGCAGGTGGTACCAAGTATATGAGGACGCGACGTGAAAATGATGTGAAGTTTTGAGGCTGATTAATCAACACTTCACGTGCACTTCAATGCACGCAATCGCTCTTCACTAGAAGTAGGCATGATATGAAGGAATCTTTATCTTGTTTCTTTGCCTTTCTGTCCATAGTGCGAGTTTCTTATTTTCTCAAGGAGATTGACACTCTTCTGATAGATATGGTGACATGTCAACGACCGAGATAGAATGTGTAAAATATGGTTAACGTCAAAGACCCACGATGAAATCTGAGCTTGGAGTTTGACTTGGTATAGAGACCAACATCGTATCTCATCCAGTGCAAACCTTGGAAGCAGCTTGATTGAGCGATATAAATCTCGATGGTTGATTGATGCTGTTTATGGTACACGTGATCCTAACCAAAAATGTATTTGAGGAAGAGATGAAAAGTTCCATCCAACCATCCTCTCTCCTTGTCAAGGTCTGGTGGGTCAACCAAGATGCTTAGCTAAGCTGATTGAGTCCATGCTTCGAGTTCGTTTGATCCCAAGAAAGATGGAGGGTTAAGAGAAGAAAAAAGGAAAATGGTACTGGCACTGGCACTGGCACTGGCATGGAAAGAACATTTCTCTGCCTTATTAAGATGCAATGAAGCCCAACGTAATCAAATTTGAATCATTTCGTATTCACGATGAATTGTTCATTCTTTAGCGTTGGGTGTTGTCTGTTGTTGTCGTTATTTGTTGTTGAGGCTTTGCCATCCAACAAATCCAGTGGGGTAAATACTACGAGACTACCAACTTCCTAACCCCAAGTATCAAAGTAACACGGAGCAGTACGGAGGACGAGGTAGATTAAAAAGATCTTTTCCCACCCTTGCGCACTCCACTTTCTCTCATATATCTCCAAAGATCCAATATCCGACATCCAACTCCTCCAACTCCTCCAACTTCTCCAATTTTCAAAAACCTGGATGAGTGGAGATGAATGAGATGGATCATGGATGGCTTTTGATATCGTTTAGACTCAGAGGGCGAGGTCCGTTCCGTGTACACTCTGGCCTAGCGAGGATTCACCAGATGTATTTTGTACACAGAGGTAGCTACCGATCTTATGTTTTTATATTGTTTACATTGTTTACATCATTTACATCGTTTACATCTGTAAGGGTCGTCAAAGTACAATGGTAGGTACCTGGGTATAGATAGATTGTGGTCTTGATTGCCGTAAAATTCATTAAAAGAGAATAAAGTTTGCTACTACTAAGAGATATTCTTCGAACCGCCAATCCACCAGGAACACAATCCGTACACAGTCAGACAGACAGTGCACACACTCGAGACACACGCACTACACTCTCGGAGATATGAACGTGGTGGCGCCAACTCGGAAACGGATTTCATCCCACCCACATCCCACCAAGCAAGCTCAAACTCAAAAAAGTCAAACTTCACTCAATACGTCACTCTAGATAGCCGCTTGCACAATGCACACAATGCACACAATGCACACCGAAGCTTTAGTACGAGCTACTCGTAACTACCTAGTAGGTACCTACTGTACCGTGCCTACCTACCCTTCCCTTCCCTTCCCTTCCTTCACTCCACCCTTGTTGACCCAAGTAGATATTTTTGATATGAAAGATTCACACCCACCATTGATGATTGCACCAAGACCAACAAATACATCTAGAACGAACAGATAAACTAACAAGAAAGAAACTAACCAACGAACCAACCTCTTAAATCGTCGATGGCTTGCATGCTCAATAACCTTGCTTGAACCTTACCCTATTACTTTCTTACTCGTGTAAGAGAAAAAGATCGATTTTTCCTATCTGCGTGCATATCTCAAGTAGCAGCACGCACACCACACACACCTTTTCACGCCAGTCTTTAGCTTCCCTTAACCCTCCCCCCCCCGTCCCTTTTACTCTTTGCCATATGCGCCGACACTAATTATTTCACTTTTCTTGACATCTCTTCCTAAGAAATAACCTCCTTCACTCAAAATCAACAACAGCCAGTCTTCAAGAAATCGACGGTTGGTTGTTTGAGATTCCGCTATCTGCGAATCGAGTGAAATCAATATCTGTGATCGGCATTGTCAACTCTTACCCCACCACAACTTCACAATGGTACAAATCGATTCCCATGAGTATTTGTCCGAGGAAGAGAAACGCTTGAAGGAGGACCGTGAGAGAACAAAGTATTGGAAGAAATGGGGTCCTTACGTTGCTGAGAGGCAGTGGGCTACAGGTATTTCTCTCGGAAAGTATGTGTGAGCTTATCAATACTGATATCGATCAATAGTGCGAGAGGATTACAGCGCCGATGGAGATGCGTGGAGTCGTGAGTTTACTCTCAAACTTTGAAACAGCAATTTGTGCAATCCTAACAATCGGCAGATTTCCCTCACGAACATGCAAGATCCAGAGCTTTCAGATGGGGAGAAGATGGTATTGCCGGTGTCTCGGACACCCACGGTTTACAAAACGTTGCTTTTGCCTTCTGGAACGAAGAAGAGTGAGTGTAGCATTTGCCATTTGTAAATATAGTGCTTGGAAACTGACCAGAATACAGTGACTTTTTAAAGGAACGTCTCTTCGGATTGTCGAACCCACAAGGAAATCACGGAGAGAGTATCAAGGAAGCACATTTCCATGTTGATAACACTCCAACGGTTAGTCAAGTATCCAGCAGCTTTGTCTACATTGAGGAAGACTGACAAATCTATGTAGCATTCTTACATGAAATACTTGTACAAATACCCCCAAAAGAAGTTTCCGTACGAGGATTTGATTGCAGAGAACGCCAAAAGAGGGAAAGACGAAAAGGAATATCAAATTCTGGACACCGGTATTTTCGATGACGACCGATACTGGGATATCTACATTGAGACTGCGAAAGATGAGGAGAATCCAGACGAGCTCCTTTTCAGAGTTACCGCGTGGAATCGGGGCCCCGAGCCAGCACCATTACACATTATTCCCCATCTCTGGTTTAGAAATACTTGGGCTTGGGGTCATGAGGCCGAGGACAAGAAGCCAAAAATCAGTAAGATTGGCGAGAATGCTGCCCACGCTCGTCATCACAAGCTAGGCGAACGATACATGATCTTGTCTCCTTCTCCTGGTGTTGGACCCAGTGGTGTCGATGTTCAACCTGAATTAATTTTCACGGAGAACGACACAAACAACGCCCTCTTATACAAGGGAAAGAATGCCCAACCATATGTCAAGGACGCATTCCATCGTTATATCGTAGACCGAGAAAAGAAGGCAATCAACCCTAAGGAACACGGAACCAAGTCTGCAGCTTGGTATAGTTTCAACGAGGGTGGTGGAGTGGCACCAGGAGAGTGTGCCGTGGTCAGATTCAGAATGTCCCAAAAGTACACAGATTACTTGGACGAAGAAGAATTCGATAACACTATGGACAAGAGAAAGGATGAAGCTGACGAGTTTTACTACCGCATCAGTCCTTTACCAATGGCTGATGATCTTCGAAACATTCAAAGACAGGCTTTTGCTGGTATGATGTGGTGTAAACAACATTATCACTTCATCTGGGACCAGTGGGCAAATGGTGACCCAGCGCAACCTCCACCTCCACCCGACCGTAAAGCTGTTCGGAACTTAAATTGGAAACATATGTATCTGGATGATATCTTATCTATGCCAGATTCCTGGGAGTATCCTTTCTTCGCAGCATGGGATTCCGCGTTCCATTGTATTCCACTTGCCATGATTGATCCAGATTTCGCTAAGAAGCAATTGGATCTTTTCACCAGAGAATGGTACATGCATCCCAATGGGCAACTTCCCGCCTACGAATGGAACTTTGGAGATGTCAACCCACCTGTACATGCTTGGGCCACATTCAGAACATTCAAAATCGAGAGAAAGTTGTATGGACGTCAAGATCTCGATTTCCTTGAACGAGTGTTCCAGAAATTACTTCTCAATTTCACCTGGTGGGTTAATCGCAAGGATTTCGACGGAAAGAACGTATTTGAAGGTGGTTTCCTTGGCCTGGATAACATCGGTCTCTTTAATCGTTCTGAGCCTCTGCCAACTGGAGGTACTTTGGAGCAAGCAGACAGTACTGGATGGATGGCTTTTTACTGCCTGTGCATGTTGAACATTGCATTGGAGTTAGCTAAGCATCGCCGAATCTACGAAGATATCGCGTCCAAGTTCTTCGAGCATTTCATGCTCATCAGTGATGCCATGACTTACAAGTCTGGCTCGGGAGAGAAATCTTTGTGGAACGACGAAGATGGTTTCTACTATGATGCTATCTCCTATGGTGGGCCATGGACCCAACAGTTACCTGTCAGGTCTCTGGTAGGATTAATTCCATTATACGCCACTCTCACCCTGGAGCCAGAGCTCATTAACAAATTACCAAACTTTAAAAAGAGAGTTGATTGGTTTGTCGAGAACCGACACGATGTTGCTGAGCGTAATATGGCTAGTATCCAGAAGAGAGGAAAGGGTAACCGAATCTTGTTATCACTTGTGAGCAAGGATCGTCTCGAGAAGATCTTGAAACGCATGTTGGATGAAGATGAATTCTTCAGTGAGCATGGTATTCGATCGTTATCAAAATACCACGAAAAGAACCCAGTTTCAATGGACGTAAATGGCCAAAAGTTCGGGGTTCAATATGTACCAGGAGATTCAGACAGTGGTATGTTCGGTGGCAACAGTAACTGGAGAGGTCCAATTTGGCTGTGTGTCAACTTCCTGCTCGTCGAGTCCCTACAACGTTTCTATATGTTCTACGGGCCTTCATTGCAAGTCGAGTGTCCTACTGGATCGGGAGATATGATGCATCTTGGTCATGTTTCCGAAGAGATTCAGCATCGTCTTCAACATCTTATGGCTCGTGGTGATGACGGACGTCGTGCTATTAACGATGGTAATGATATCCTGGACTTTGATCCCAACTGGAAGGATAACTTGTGGTTCTATGAATTCTTTGATGGTGATAGTGGTCGTGGTTTGGGTGCTACGCATCAATGCGGTTGGACTGGTTTAATTGCCAGGATGATTCACGATACTGGGTAAGTACTTCCTGATTTTTTAAGTCTCAATTTTGAATAAAATACTAATGTGAACTCCAGAATCTCCTGCCGTCTTCCCCAGACCCCTCGTACGCCTTCTTCAGGAATGAACCACTACTTTGACGATATCTTCACCCGCCACGTTGCAGGTGGCGCAAACAAATCTCAAAAATCTCCTAAGCCATATCATCTCCGTCGGACTTCAACTGCTCGTTCCATTGGTGCACGTTCAGATTTCGGGGATCACGAACATGATGATGATGATGAAGAACAACGTGAGAGAGAGGGAAGCGTGGCGCCCATGGATGAACAAAGATTGAGAGAGAGGGAGGAGGCTGATAGGCATGTGGCCAATTATGTTAGCGAACAGTTGCATAGAGTGAGAAGTCATGAGAGTGCGTGGGCTGATAACGTGGGAGATGAGTTTGAGGCACAGCTGGATGAGAACTAGGCAAGGGGAGGGAGACGATGGATAGAAGATGGGATGGCTAGAGTCTAGAGGAAGTAGAGAAGTAGAAAACCGGCGTGCATGCATAAGAGACAATCAAGACTCAAAGCAAAAAAACACATAGATAAAGAGCTAGAGCTAGCGCGGAGCTTATTGGGTTCAAAAAATTCTGGTAGATAAATTTTAGATAGGTGCATGCGTGTAATTAAGCGAGCTATGAAATAGAGCAAATGCGTTCATCGTTGATTTGTTTCATTTTGAGGCGTGCAGTACTTTGAAGAATACCAAGAAGAATACGAGAAATTGTTGACATCGGGTAAGCATACAAACAAGTTTCATAGCTTCACATATTGTCATATTGACTGTTTCAGCTATTACAAAATATGTTTTAAACAATATCTTCTTAATAAATCATGTGAGAAAACACTCCATTCCATTTCTATTCTTACTCATGTACAGGTAGGTAAAGTTAGATTTAGGTGAATGTCGACTCTCTCCCCCTACACCCCTTTTCCACGCATTCCGCTGCACTCTCTCCCTCTCTGTTCCTCCAAGCCGTTGACCAAATAGCCTAAGGAAAACATCTCATTCATTCCGGAAACCGATGATTCCGGGAAACTTTTGAAAATCATGAGAAACATTGTGTGTGGTTTGTGATGGCGATGCGTTTACAAAGCATCAGTGAGTAACTTGTTCATCTTGGCGAGACGGTTGGAGACGCTGAGATCGATGGTTCGGTCGCCGATTTCGACGATGAGACCACCGAGAACGTCGGGGTTGACCTTGAGATGTGTTAGTAATAGCTTTTTAATAGCGCTGGTGCTGATGGTAGTATAGGGAGGGGAAAGCGTATGTTAGGCTGTGTGAGGGGGAAGTAGGTGGGGAATGGATTAATGTAACGAACCTTGTTGGTAACCTTGAGCTTCTTGCCTTGACCGACGTATTGGGACTTAGCGACGGCGGATTCGAGACGGTTGAGGGTTTTGGAGTCTAATTGCTGTTTGGCGAATATTATGTTAGCTTTGTTTCTTCCTCAGATATGACATATTCCTCCGCAGAACTTCACTACATGACCACCCCTCCCCAGCATTACCACTCCCACTCCCAAGCTCTATCCTGCAATCCCAAGAAATAAAGAAAATAAAACCCACCGAAGCACTGGTAATAATCAATTCAATTTCACCTCTAGCAGCGCCCATCAACTCTCCAAACTTCTCACAGACACCCTTCAAAAGCGACAATCTATTGTTCTCGGCCAAAGTCTCCAAGAAGTTCTTAACAGTATCACCCTTATCTTGACCACCAGTGTGTTTTTGAAGCTCCTGGATGATTTGAGATTTGTCGGCTACGGAGAGAGTGGGTGCTTGCATGATAGTTGCGAGCTTGGCGTCTCTTTGGAAAACATTGTGGAGGTTTTGAAGGGAGCGGGCGACGCTGTCGAGAGTCGAGGTCTTGCTGGCTGCGGTGTACTGTAGGGGATCGTTTGGTTAGCTACGTTTCTGGTGTGGGTGATATTGCCAATTTCAATGTTGCCCTTCATGATCAACAATCCCCTCCTTCCTCCCCCTCCGCTTTCTCCCTCCCCGCCCTAGGAATCTCCTCCCCAATCCCCGCATTTCCTCTTCCAAGCCCCAAACAAAGAAATCACACATACCAAAGCACTAGCATAAGTACCATCAACACCATACAAAGCGACTGGGGGCTTGCTATCCACCGCAGCAGGAGCCGCATAATTTCGGACAGCGTGGGTCAAGACCCTTGGGGCGCCAGCTGCCTTTTGGGCGCGGAGAAGAGTTCGACTCGAAAGCATATTTGCGGATTTTATCGTCTCAATTGGTCCGTTGGTGGAGGGGAGATGGTAGGTAGTAAGAGAGCTCAATGACAGGATTGTGCAGAGGTGCCCGGAAGTTTGGATTTTCGAGCCGATCGAAAGTCACGTGGTAGATGCTTTGCTGAAGCGATTTTGCCCGAAGCTTGGGTGGAAACTTGTAGGTGGGATGAGTCTGCTTGGGTTGGATTTTTTAATTATTGGACTGGTCCTTGTGAAATACCACTTTCCAGAGATGCTTGAATCTTAGTTTGCTGATTTATATTTAAAGGTTAGTGAGAAGAAAGTGCAAGAGTTTCCAGTTCCTTCCCGAAACACTCCGACGAAAGCGATTCGCATCCTACGTTCATTCTCGAGTCAAAATTCAACACAATAAGCAAAGAACGCATCTCTTCATACAAATACAACTCCTCATTGACAGAAATCATTGAAAGTCAATATTTGACGATTGCTCGCTGGTAACCTATAAGTACACTATGATGATAATTTCATCCCCCATTCCCCATACCTTTTCGGTCCAATCCGCCAACCAACCGGCCTAGAAGTCCTTCCCCGTCCTGTGACTCCAGAATTACCTGGGTATGCCCCTAAACGCCAATAGAATGAATACATGTATCATGACCTCATCATCAATCAATCTTCTAATCAGTCCTAAGCATACTGTCGACCAGATCACCTAGAGGTCCCCAAAAGTCTTTGCCGCTTGCAAGATCGTGTTCATCAATGAAGAGAACATAATGTTTGAAGCTTGTATTGAGATGGGCCTCTAACCCAAGCTCACGAATGACAGGGTAATGATGACAGTAGATATGGGCATAGACGCGGTACATTCTCTTGAAAACTTGTTTGATCATGGTTGAGAAGCCTTTTGGAAAGGGGACACCTATTTGAGGTTAGAAACTCATAGTATGAAGCTGGTAGATAATGTTAAAGTGCATACCAATTCTGCTTGGGAAGACGGTTTCATTGTCAATACTGGCTTGAACCCAGGCCATCAAATGTTCAATATAAGTTGGCGCAGGCATTTTGGTTGGTCGTTTGAAATTCTCATTATCTTGCCAAAGATATTCGAACCTGTGGCATATTAGCATTGATTTCCAAAGTTCACAAGTGAATGACATACTCATCCGTAGCCTTCATTTCAGGGCACGATTGTGGAGAGCAAAACTCTGTAATTGAACCGTAAAGTAGATTTATATGGTTATAAAAGTCCACCACTATTATATCGTAAGCTCATTTCTACTTGTGTACCATATGATTCCCTACTATTGACTGCAAGCCACTCATTCTCGTCTTCACCTTCTGGCAATTTGACCACCTTCCTCAAACTACCACCCCCAAGTGTTGCTTCGGCATATTGTCGCAATTGGTAGCTCGTTGTGCCTTTTTGCGCATTTCGTGGTCGAAATTGGTTTCGTGTACGTTGATTCCTATTGTTTCCTCCTTGTGAGTAAGATGGCACATGCACAGGTTCAGGTGATTCTATAAAGAACGGGTCATCGACTTCCTCTACAGATTCCAGTTTCACTGAAACTGTTGCTGCAGAATCAGACCCCGTAAGTCCAATTGTCGGTGGTGATTCCTTCGTTCGGGGGCTCCAATATGCGAGAAAAGAATCCATCATTATGAAGAAATAAGGATCACTAACACGGTGGTGATGAAGGAAGTCATCTTGCTTTAAAATGAGGAGCGTTCTCTACATTCCACAGGTTAGCTGGGTAATTAATAACAAAGTAGGGATGGAAGGGGTAGTTACGCAGCCTTTACAATCAAAACACTCACTGTTTTGCTGTTGGAGTGGAGAAGGTTGTATATTGTAATTACGAGAGGTGTTGTAGTTGCGCCGAACAACAAAGAGATTTTCGAACGTATTGCAGCGTTATCGTTGCAAGATGGAGGAGTAGGTAAAGTAGATAATGGTATTGTTTACACCACGCTGAGGTTTATTCTGGTTGGCTCAGCTACCCTTACACAATCGCCAATCGCTAATCGCCAATCGCCAATCGCAATCCCGCCGCGCTTTCCCTCCGCTTCCTTCTAGCCTTCACGTAGAATAGACTACAGTAACCGATAGTCTGACCTAACACCACAAACACCCAATGCTTCTCGGTGTTCAGAAGCTTAAATACCTAGTAATAATAATTCATACTTTATCAATCCTCAAAAAGCTTCATAAATGCTAGTCAGAATAGGGTTCTCAATTGAAAGTTTTTCCATTGTTTCACTATGCGGGTAGATTCATCTGAATCGAAGGTATTGCGATTGCATTCATGACTGGTAGATTAGATCTCCTTCGAAGAGGAGGAGTGTCAATTGCCCATACAGCGAAATGTCAACCCTTCATAGTAACATTCGCGTTTTCATACAGTGGAAAGACCAAACTGTATTCGCTGGCGAAGATATAGAGTGTCAAATCACTTTCAAAAATGTCGCGACATCACCAGCGTCATCAAAATCATCATTACATCCACCCGGACCCAATGGGTCGCTACAATCACCCGAAAGACACAGGAGACCTCCGTCACAGATCAAAAATTCAGCCCTGAGCCCGCGGTCTGGAGTCCCAAGCAGAGATGGTCATCGATCATCTCTTTCTATGACAATACCACCCGAATCAGTACATTCAAAACAATCAGAACAATGGAGTCATGGAACATCGAGGCCCGGAAGAGGAGGGGAAGGTCACAAGCGGTCCGTGTCTATCATATCAATGGGAGCTAGCGAAAGTGATATTGATGAAGTCGCCAGCCATGGAAGCTTGAATGAAAGGCTTGGTAGAGGTGCCAGAGGTCATGGTCGGTCTGCAAGCTTGCAAATAATTCCGCGAAGGAACGGAGTTAATGGAGGGCCCATGACAGGTAAATGTTCCCGAGTCGCAAGGCAATAGATTGTCATTAATATCCTCTAGCACCACTTAATTCTCGTATACCGCCTCACCCTTCGCCGTTAATGGGCTCCTCTTTCCCACCGAATTCATCTGTACCGAATTCTCCGCGGCGAAATACAGGTACAAGCAATCTGCCAACAACATCAGGGCTTGGGTCACATCTAGCAAGGAGGAAAGACTCCACTCCACTTGCTCCAGCCTTTAAATTTCCAGCAACCGCTTCACCTTCGATAGAAAGTCGACGCAATTCACGCATTGAAGATGATAACGCAAGTCACAAATCTCATGATAGCCGGCTGCTCTCGCCCAGATCTAGAGATACTGTCCTAAGTATTCCCGACCAAATAACACCTGCACCTATTGCAAGAATACTCTCACCATCAAGCATGGGTGGGACACCACGAAGTAGCGGGGAATTTTACACTCTAAGCAACAATTCGACGGAGACCCTTGCTTCAGAATATTTACCACAACCATCAAATCGGATGCCACCTTATAGTGGGCACCATATAAAACGATCTTCAAATTTAGCTTCCAGTAGCAGTCATAGGGCACCAGAAACGCTCATGATGGGCTATGCTCAAATCCATGGTTCTTTCATGCTGGATCCATCCTTAATAAGTCAAGCGCCATTCGAAGAAGTGAAACGAAAAGGTGCAGTCGGTGGGCAAGGTGGTGGTGTGATTGGAGTCGAAACGAACAAAAGGGACAGTAGTCTTTTGCGAACATTTGGTTGGGGGAGCATAGGCGAATCAATAGGTGGTCTATTAGGAGGCGGCGAGTTAAGTAGCATGAAAGATATGCGGGGCATGGTAAATTCTCGTTCCATACCTTTACTGTCAACTCCTCAATCTATTTTGTTTGTGGACTTGAAATTGGCTCCTGGGGAAAGTCGCAGCTACAAGTACTCTTTCAAATTACCTAGAGGACTACCCCCCAGCCATCGAGGGAAGGCTATAAAGATATCCTATAAATTAGTTATCGGCACACAAAGACCGGGAGGTGCCAAGGAGCAACAAGTCAAGTCGGTTGAGATACCATTTCGACTCTTGGGCAGCGTGAATTCTCACGGAGAGCTTCTCGGTCATGATCTTATGTTACCATATATACTACTTCGAGATCAAGCTCGAATTCAAACTATTAACACGCAGTCCGATGAAAGCTTGAGTTCTTCACTTAAGAAGCTTTCAGTCAGTACACACAAAACGCAAAGACCCAACTCGAATTTGGGCGAGTTCCTTGCATACGTTGATGAATTAATCACGAGACCACGAAGGAACTCTAGCTTTGGTTTGTTATCGCCCACAGAGACTATAGGATCTAGACGCCAATCTATCAGCGAGGAACCTGCAACGGCAAAAGAAGCAATTGATATGGCCATCCTTCGCAGCAATATCGCCACAGAATCTCAACAAAGTGCAAATAGATTTGAAATTGCTCGTGGTGGAAAGAGAGTTGCGGTAGTCATGCTAGCTAGGCCGGCATATCGCTTAGGCGAAACCGTCACTGCAGCTATCGAATTTACCGATGCTGGAATTCCTTGCTATGCAATACACTGCGCTTTGGAGACATCCGAAAAAGTCGACAACTCCATCGCGCTACGTTCTGAAGCAAGCATATTTCGCGTTACTCGTCGGGTTCACGTTTCGCACTCTGAATCTACACTTTTTGCTCGCCGCATAGTCTTTTCTCCTACTATCCCCGTCACCGCAACCCCTGAATTCATCACTAGTGGAGTATCACTTGATTGGCGTATTCGCATTGAGTTCGTTACCCCTAGACTGACCACTGTGGATAATGAGGTTATTGATTTATCCCCTGAATTGTTGGAAGAATATACGAATGATGAAAGGGGGGTCGTCTATGCAGCAGTCCAAGGGCTCGAATGTGAAAGTTTTGAAGTTGCTGTTCCTATTAGAGTATACGGTGCCTTAGCTGGCACCACAGAAAAAGAAGAGAGCGAAGGAATGGGTCTCGTTGTATAATTGGCATGATATCATAAAGGCTACAATAAAATATGGGTGGGATACTTGGATAAAGGGATTTTTCAGCGTCTAGTATTTTGGGGCTTTCATGTTCATTCTTGGGGGTTTATAATGATCAGTCATCAACGCCTACATAGACTTTATCATGGAAAAGGATGGAAAAAGGATGGAATGGGTAGGTGAAAGTGGATTGGGGCAAACGACTTTATATGCAGTAGATAAAATTAGATAGATATCTATCAAAAGATGTTCGTACAGGAAATCTGACCATCACTGATTTATTCTTTTGGCTCACACCGCACGGTATTATACACCTCATTTAGTGGCTAATAACACAAAACGTACAACAACATAGAGGACGAGTTAGATAAACTATGAGATTGGCTACCTACTTGGTAGTCATCAATATGTAAGCTTGATAGGGTACATTCAGATTCCAGCTCAAAATGAGGATTGATCGATGTGAAATGATCGATTTGAAATAGGATATGGAAAAGCTAGTATTGTCGATATCGAAGTGTACGATTTTATATCGTCCAGGGTGTAGTTTAGTTAGCTCTTCCGAAGTTAGCCCCGTTACATATCACTCTCTGTTACCATGTATCGGATGGCTGACGTTAAATGTCGGAGTTTCCATAAGAAGTAATCGGGTCGGTAATGGTGGGATTTTGTCCAAGCCAAGGAGTGGTTGGCGGCGGCCCCACGGTGCTTTGGCGGGCACCTACTGCAGATCTGCAGCCTGATGGGGATTATCGTGTGTAATTCACACGTTTGTTATACGTCCCGCAGCTACTCCGTAGGAGCGGTATTCTACTCAAACTAACCACTTTCTATTGAACGTTGTGGTCACTCGTCATGATAAGTTAACCATGCTCGAAGAACTTACTCGTGTAGTAAATGCTTGATTCTTGGAACGATACATGCTAAATCACCATGGAGGGATGGCCAACATAACCACATGATACCAATCTACTGTTAGATTATTCTGTCATTCTACTGCTAGGTCATTCAAAAATGCCATAAGATTGAGTAGCTAGCCGAGCAATAGTTACACGAATCTTATGGATCGCGACTCGCGATTATGTCTCTTCAAATTAACATCCTATCACAACAACATCTCTCTGTGAGGATTCTCCATATAAGTATGTCCTCTTTATAACGATGCCCCTGTTGATCTCTATATCAAAAAGGGCCTATATCCCTAAAACCTGTGCATTGGAACATACTTAGGATTTTGAGTTTTGGAATCATGTATATCCTCATTGGATGAATGGTATTTTTAGGATTTTAGTATAGTATATTGAACCTTTAATGATTTGGGCGATTGTTAGAAATTGCAGAGATATAATCTGTTCGGGATTGATGGGAAGTAAATTACCGTTAGATTGGAATTAGTCGTATACCTCCAAACAAGATTGCCGAACATTACCCTTACCCTTATGGAAGTTTTGCTGTATGTGTTTTCATGCTTGTGATTGCTGTCATGTCATCCTTCCGTGCACAACATCTTCTCGAATAATCTTGGAAGTTGGAAACGTCAACGGTGCTTTCAGTGGAGAAATATAAGCTCAGACTTCTCGGAATAAAAATTGCTTACCCTTCTCCGTTGATACTTTGGTACCACGGCACACGCGATCATAGATTCAGAGTAGCGGAGGAGAGGAATCAAGTGACTCCGCCCGGACTGGGGAAGAAGCTGGGGACTACTTGCAAGTTGTATTCCTATTATGTGTTCACTGTTCATCCCATTTATGTGGGCGTCAATAGCCAGGCAGCGGTGACCTGAGTTCGGAGCTTTGCCGCAAGAGTTGTTTCCTTGTCAATTTTGGAAGCATGATTTTTTGCTATTTCAATTGAACAATTGGGAGGCAAGGATACTACCCAAGTTGCCAATGGGTGGTTTGAGCATCTTTGAATATTTGACATATTTCTAACAATATTCAAGCCTTCAGGGCAATGCTTGTGGCTTGAATATTAGAACTTCCAGATACCCTCGTATCTTCATTTTACCTTTTCTTTTTTGCTTGTAACCCTCGTGTTGGGAACTTGAGAACCCCATAATTTACTCTGTATGAAGGACGAGTACGCTTTTTTTACATGGAAAATCCCCAATTCCCCACGACTTAAATTTCGCGACCATCACGAGTTCCCCAAATTCCCCACACAAATATTTTCGTTTCCCCGATGGTACTCCAGATGTTGGCGAAAGTGGGATGAAATTGTCAAATTGAGTCCGGTGGGATTGCTTTGCGGTACTATTTCGGCCATTTTTCGCCACGGGGAACTCGTTTTCTCCACAAGTGGAGATATCAAAGTCCTCCATAGACCGATCATCTTGAACCGTTTTCGTGGGAAGGTACTATTGGGGAGTGATAGATGACGTTTATGCCGGGTCATTGTTTTCCCCAGCTAATTCCTTCAGTATGCTTCGTATTGAGTCCGATTATGGGTGAGAATGAGTTCCCGAAGATCTACCATCATGAAGTTTATATAAGTCGGAGAGATCGTCCAGAGAAGTGAAGAAAGCAGTTCCAGTAGACAAGTTACAATGGCTCCTTTACTCGATATCATCTCGGTCCTCGCTGGCTGCATTGCTACTGTCAATGGCCAGGCTTGGGATTCTTCTTTGTTCGAAACTTCCCCACCGGTCTATCCTTCTCGTACGTTGTCCTCCCTTTCACATTCACACGATGGCAACCCGTTCTAGGAACGTGATTAGACTACCTTCTGAAGCACTCAAAATCCCTTGAACTACTCGAACTTAGACAATACTAACATCTCTTCCAGCTGAATTGCAAGGCACAGGATGGGAGGCTGCTCTCGTAAAGGCCAATGCTTTCATCGGTAATCTCACAGCAGAGGAGAAGGCATCACTTCTGACTGGTGCCAATGGACCTTGTGTTGGGTGAGTGATGAGAGCATATTCCGGTCAATCTATTCTTTGCTAATTTTGACATAAGCAACATTGCACCAATCCCACGAGTTGGATTCAAGGGACTCTGTCTCCAAGATGGACCAGCTTCCTTGAGACAAGCTGATTATGTTACCGTCTTCCCTGCTGGTCTTACTACAGCTGCATCTTGGGATAGAAGTCTCATGAAAACTAGAGGAGAATACCTTGGTGCTGAATTTCGCGGTAAAGGTGCTCATATCTTCTTGGGACCTGTAGCTGGTCCTCTTGGTAGAAGTGCCATGGCAGGAAGAAACTGGGAAGGATTCTCCCCAGATCCATACCTCACTGGTGTTGCAATGGAAGAGACAATTGTCGGTGTTCAATCACAAGGTGTTCAAGCAAGCGCCAAACATTTCCTTGCATATGAGCAAGAGACCCAGCGAAACACTGCAGGTATTTTCGATGCAAACTGGTTCCCAAATGACACCCAGCAACTCTCTGTCTCTGCAAATGTTGAAGATAGAACTATCCACGAGTTGTACATGTGGCCATTTTACAATGCCATTCGCGCTGGAGTTGCCAACGTCATGTGCTCTTACAACAGAGTTAACTCATCCTACGCCTGTCAAAACTCCAAACTCTTAAACGGCTTGCTCAAGACTGAGCTTGGTTTCCAAGGATTCGTTGTATCTGATTGGATGGGAACACATGCTGGTGTTGCCTCTGCCAATGCTGGTTTGGATATGACCATGCCTGGAGCTGAATGGTGGGACCCAATGGCCCCTGGAATCCCAACCTACTTTGGTTCCAACCTTACTACTGCTGTAAGCAATGGGTCCGTCACCCTTGAACGCCTCAACGACATGGCTCTTCGAGTCATGACTCCATATTTCTTCCTCGGACAAGATCAAGATTTTCCTCTCATCGACCCTTCATCTGGTGCTTACCCACAGTTGAACCAATTCAACGAGCCATCTATCTATGCATCAAACTGGACCTCTTCAATGGGTGCCGCTGATGTTGATGTCCGTGGAAATCACAGCTGGTTGGTTCGCGAACTCGGTGCTGCTGGAACCGTTCTTCTCAAGAATACCAACAATGCTCTCCCTCTTAAAGCTCCTAAGCGTATTGGAGTTTTCGGAAATGCTGCAGGTGATTTGGCAAACGGTCCTTATCCTCATGACAAAGACTATGAATATGGATGTTTGCCCATTGGTGGTGGTTCTGGATCTGCACGTTTCTCTCAACTTGTTACTCCTCTTGAGGCTATCAAAGCTCGTGCTCTTAAGGACGGCTTAATGGTTCAAACTATCTTGAACAACACCCAATTGGCCACCGACGGAGGTTTTTCGGACGTGATCTACCCAGTCCCAGACGTATGCTTAGTATTCATCAAGACTTACGCCTCCGAAAGTAATGACAGAACTTCCTTGTCATTTGACTGGGATGGAGATGCCGTCGTTGAGCAAGTTGCCGCAAACTGCAGTAATACCATCGTTATTTCTCAAGCTACAGGTTTGAACCTCATGCCATGGGCTGACCACCCTAACGTTACCGCTATTCTCGCTACCCATCTTTCTGGTGACCAAATCGGAAATAGTTTAGTCGATGTTCTATATGGTGCTTACAATCCCTCTGGACATCTTCCTTACACTATTGCCTACAATGCTTCTGATTATGACTTCGCCCCCATCACCACCAGTGTGAACTCAACCGCACCAGGTGCCTGGCAATCAGATTTCACCGAACGTCTTTTGATCGATTACCGATACTTTGACTACCATAACATTTCCGTCCTCTATGAATTTGGATTCGGTCTTAGCTACACCACTTTCGATCTCTCCTCCCTGAGCATCACTCCTATCTCCAACGAAACCCTCTCTTCCATTCCCGCCCCCATGGCCGCCAATGCCTCCATTCCCGGCGGAAATCCCGATCTCTGGACTCCCGTCTACACCATCACCGCCAGCGTCTCCAACATAGGAAACTACTCTGGCGCCGCGGTCCCCCAACTCTACATCACCATTCCCGAAATCGAGGGCAGCGAAACCCCCGTCAAGCAATTGCGCGGATTCGAAAAGATCGGCTTGAACGCTGGGGAAAATAAAACCGTCACTTTCGAGTTGATGCGCAGAGATATCAGTTTCTGGGATGTGGAATTACAGGAGTGGAGAATCCCCGAGGGAGAATTCGGTGTCAAGGTCGGATTCTCGAGTAGAGATTTGAGAGTCGAGGGAAGCTTTAGTTTCTAAATCAGGAAGGAGTTTGATTAGTTAACCTGGTGGGATAAAGGTAGAAGTTTGGGAGGAATGATGAGCGAAGGGGTGCTTTTTTGATGAGTTATGTTTAATGATTTTGGAATCGGACGTCTTTACGAACTCGGTTGGTTATGATGTAATTTTCATGTATATAGAAGATTAGGAAGCGAAAGAAGTTAATGCTATTCATGTTTATATAAGATCTTACATATATATCGTCAGTCAGTATGATGTGAGAATGTGAGCAAATTGGGATCAAATTGTTAGAACTAGAATCCTTAAAACCAAAGATCGATTGAGAGAAGGCGCGTGGGGTGATCAAATATTTAAAAAGTGGGAACAGATCTTGGAACGATCCTACTTCAAATCCCCAGCGATGGAGTGCCTTCCATTATGAAGACAAATATCCATCAACACTCATATTTTGTCAAGATACATTTTCCAGCCTACACGCAGAACCCAACCCAGTATCTGATATATAGAAACTCTTCAAACATATAAACGATTTTTATTGTACCTATCTTACAAACATTACCAATTGATAAACCCCATCCACCACTGCTACCCATTAATGACTTTTTTATGTATTACCCACCATCCATCCCACACACCAATCCAAATAATGCCTATCCGATAAGTGGTATCCATCAAGCGGAAGTAAGAAAGTAAATGAAAAATCCGATTGACCATTGGTCGCGCAGTCATCCGCGAAGCGAGCAAGCAATAGCAAAAGCCAAAAGTTCAAAGTTACTCAGCAAAGCAAGCAAGTTATCAGTATCATCTGTTGCTATCAAGTCATGCATGCAGCATTAAATCGAAAAATTTCCAGACCAACTCAGACCATGCTCACCAGCCAAACCGAACTGTTCGCGTGAGCCTCACATCTGAATCAAGAAGTTCAAGGTGGATATTTGAATCGATAATAGTGGTTGTGCTGACCAGAGCATCAAGAACAATTGTAAATAAGAGCCATTGAAAAAGACGTTCATGCATGAATATCAAGATTGCAAGCAGATCATACCCAGTGCTTAAAGCCCAAATTATGGTTGTCAAGCAGAAGCAGATTGTCAGATCAATTGCATTGCACAGCGCAAAGTAGATGGCACGCGTTTGGTCATCATCTACAAATAGATAAGATCTGGTTTGTCGGTCTCATTTTTTGGGGGGTTTTCTTCTCCAGAATTTTGTTTGATAGAGCATGATCAAAAATCGTAAACGTAGTAGGTAGTGCATACTATATCGTGTATCCATAAGTTAGAGTATCCTGGGCTGCGTGATCAACTCAGTGAAAAAAGTATACCAATATCAGGCCAGTAATGAAAGAGTACGAAGGTTCTCGGTCATCGTCATCATGTGCAATGCAGGCATACTATATCGATGGAAATGAATCGAACGTCATGGTCTCAGCGTATGTCATGCAAGTCATACGAATCATGCAAGTCAAATGTCGAATCATCCTACGGCTGGTAATCACTGTCGTAAAGTTACGAAGTTCCTGGCGGCTTGGTTGTATCACCTTGACCTTGCGCGGCCAATGCCTGATACCAAAGCTGTGCATAGTTGGCGTATCCACCATCTAATTTCGTCAGTAAAGTTCAAGGTTGACCAAGAATGAAACTTACAAGCTGCATAGGGGTCGTCGGCACCACTTGGGGGAGCCTGCTGTCCTTGTTGTCCTTGCGGTTGGGCATATGATTGCTGGGAATAGCCACGGTCTCCATAATCGTTCTGTTGGCTTTGTTGTCCACGATTATTACGATGACCACCACCGCCATTGTTTTTCTGTTGCTTCTAGAAGTTAGAAATTGCTACAAAGACGAGAAATGATAATTTCACTTACCACAGCATCAACCTTATCTTCAATGGCTCGCTTGGCGGCTGTTATAGCTTGCTGGGAACCTACAAGGCCAATTTCACGTTCAACCTCACCTGGTCCCGAAGACTGGGTTACATTGATCTTGCAACCGGTTGTGTTCTGCATGTCTTTGATCGTTTCGCCACCTTTGCCGATAATCATGCCTACAGCCTCGGAAGGTACGAAGATTGAATCATTGATCTTATCTCCTTGACCTCCACCACTGGCGCCACCACTTGCATAACCACCACCATAGCCTGCGTCACGATTGTTCTCTCTGGGGGCGGGTGCACGCTCCTTTGGTGCACTCTTACTATCACTCTCGACAATCTCCATAATCAAATCTTTGGCCATGGCGGCGGCCTCTCGAGTACCAATGAGATTGACTGGTCGAAGTCCGTTGACGCTCTTCTGCTCTCCAACAATATTGACATGGCAGCCGCTTCGCTCTTGAAGATCTCTAATAGTCTCTCCACCACGGCCGATAATAAGACCAACTGTTCTATCCGGAACCATGATTTGCATACTATCCTCGCCATCTCTCAATGCGGGTTGATGCGATGAATCTCGGGTTGCATTCTGTTCTCTTGGAGCTCGGTCTGAAAGTGGGCCCAAACCACTGTCATCGATAATGCGAGTAATTTCAGCCTTGGCATCCGCTCTGCGAGCACGAGGACCAGTGATTTTGCAGGTTCTGAAAGGACCTGTTTCATCAGGGCCAGTAATAAATTGTACTCTGCAGCCAGTTTCTGATTCCACTCTTCTTAAATTCTCGCCCTGTCTACCAATGATCAATCCTACAAGATTCGACTCGATTGAGATCGATTCAACATTGTCTTCTGCGCCGCGTATTGGAGAACGTTCACGAGCATATCCGCCTGCGCCTCCATGTGGCGGTTGGAAAGCATCGGATGGGCCTCTGCCTCGTACTCCGGGGGAGAATGAACGTTCACGATAATCTCTTCCTGGTGGACCTCGTCTTTCATCGCGATATGGGTTGAAATTATCGCGAAAGGCATCGCGACGTGTTGGCTGTGGCGATCTGGATCTAGATCTTGGGCTGTATGGTCTACCGGAAGGCATGGGGGGTTGTCCCACATAAGACGGAGCTCTATCGTAAGCAACACCCTTTTCAGCAGCAATGACCTTCGCCTTTGCGATGGCATCTTGAATACTAACAGTTCCGGAGCTTACAGGCTTGATACCGCTAAGATCAACACTGCCCGAGTTTGTAGGTTGGGGTAAAGAATAGCCGCCGGTTTGTGCATATGGATTTGGCTGTTGTTGAGGAGGCTGGTATGCAGGCTGCTGATTCTGCGGAGGGGTCGCATTGGGACGCTGCGCTGCTGGAAAAAAAGTTAGTTTTCAATTTTCCCCTTTGATAGCTGGGAGAGAAAATTTACCCAAAGCAGCCAGGATGGATGTGATGCTGGGTTGATCGGCCATTGTTTCTTTGATTTCCTAGACTCAGAAATGAGGAGGGAAACGTAGAGATCTTTTTGAAGATCAGGTTGTGTCGTGAAAAGGGATTTTCTGTGTTAATGAAATGCACGACAAGCAGATCAAAGGAAATGGTAGTTTGTGTCTTTGACAAATGTTATGAAAATTGATGGTTAGATTGTTGATCCTTTGGGGAGTTTGAAGGAACAAATAAGGTCATGCAAGTTCAGAATAATCGAATGCGCTTGCTCATACTAATGGTAAAAAAAATCGAGGATCTGCGTTCAGCCTAGTCCGAGATTAGTCTCAAGCTAGTGCTGAGATTCTGTTCAGATCACATGACTAATTATATAAGCAGGATCATCTAGGAAAGTTCGACGTCACTTCACTTTTCTTCTTCACTTCACTCACTTCACTTAATTTCACTACAGTTGATTTAATCTTAATCATATAATGGCTGCGTAAACTACGAGTGTGATCTTTGATGTCAGTTCTTACACCACTAATAGTCCGACATAATAGTCAATGAAAGACTCCTTTTGTCCCAGCATGCAAATATTAGGACAGGATCCTTTTGGTTAGGAGAACATGAAGAGGGAGAAAGGAGAGAAAGGTGGAATGATCTGGCATGAATGGCAAACTCTATAAAGGGGTAATCATATCAGACCATGAAAGCAGTAACTATTTCCCTTCATTTATGAATCGCGTATACAATGTAACATCAATAAAGTGTCACTGCTTTCTATGTGGGTTGAAATTGTAGTATCTGCTTGCTTCATATTCGATTGCTGTAAAAGTTATACATGTGAGTCTTGTGAGGATAACAAGTATCAGAAGCCAGAAGCCATTTCTTAGCAAACAAGATGCCTTCCATCACTTAACAAGCAAGTCTTTTCATTCCCCTTTGATTCTTCTCATCTAAAGATCCATAATGAGTTATATTTATTGGCAGTTGCCGTAATGTAGCACAATATACAGAGCCTCTGATTCATTCCCACCGGCAATTATGATCAAGTATGGATACCTGGTGGTGAGCTTGATGTTTTGGAATTTATATGCCTATATTACGAGTGTACTAAAAGGAGAGAGGGAGAGAGGGAGAGATGTTAATAAAGATTGTGGTCAACACTTCATATAATGAAGCCTTTTGATGCCAAAATGATTGTGGCCCCATTTCAAACCATAAAGTTTGCTGTTTTCTTGCCCACCTGTTGTAAATATGAGTTTACTTTCACTGGTTGTACTTAGGTCGAGAATATTGAAATAGTACTTGCTACATACACATATGATTCAATGCATTTTCAAGCAATAAAGGTTTGGTACTTTCAAAAGACAGATATCCCTAAATGGTGCAAAGTACAATGTTCCTCAGGTCTAGAGTCCACGTAATAGAGATATGGCTATGGAAGACCTTTCGGAAGTGTTGGACAAAAGAAATCACATAGGGGGTTGAAAGAGATGGTTGGTAGTTGTGCTTATAAGTTTCATCCAAGTCGACAATGGGGAAGCATGAATATATCCTATTTGCTGCTGCACATCCTTTTGTTCCAAATGGGGTTATTATCTAGATCTAGCAAATACATAGGTAAGAGCACTGTTTACTGTGTAAGAAGATTAATAGTGAACACGGTGGCAATATTGCATTCAAGTACAATTGCAACAAAGCAAGGCAACGGCAAAGGTAAAGGCAACCATAAATGAATTCCGCACTTGTCTGTTGGTTGATGTCTATTGCTCGTTTGTTTGGCGAAGAGTTGTTAAGTAGAATATTCAATATGGGAATGAGCCAATGAAATAAAAAGTTTTCTAGCAAAGAGATGAGCCCAGTGAAGGAAGATATGCTGTATAGATTTTGTGTTAATTTCATTCCTGTTGGTTGTTGAAGCTTTGTTCTTTTATACCGTGCAGCAGTAGCAGTATCTGAAGCACGCGATACCTCTTTGGGATTGGTGAGTATTGTTCCAACACAGCTGATCTATTAGATACCTCGAAGCGAAGTTATTGATAACTTTGCTCTTCCACCTTCTTACTAACTTTTTACCCCCATCTCACAAATATGTTCAAACTCGATGCACAACCATGAGATTTCCAAGACCAAAATCCTCAGTCTCCATGACCGAATCACTGATAAATGTAAATATGATGGTAAGAAAGTTGTTTTTCTTTCTCACACTCTGTGGCCATACTGGTCGGCCGGTCAATGCATGAGAGTGACTTCGAAGAAATTCCTCTTGCTTAGTCGGCATGCCCACAGAGACTGTTGCCATCCTACCTTAAACCAAAGCTTTAATTTTATCAACAAAATTCTTCCATTCTCTCTCTAACAAATCAAATAGTCCAATAATTCTTCAACACCAGAAGAGGCTGATCTTCAGTCCTCTAAAACAGATAATGTTTGGGAAAATCTTGTACCACACACTGAATTGATCAATTCCAACACTTCAGATCTTAAGAATCAAGCCTCAAGTCCTTTAACCGCAAAAAATCTCGAAATTTTGAGTAATTCAACACACGCAAGTCCCATAAAACACGGAAGTATAACATCAAAAACCACAACTGTTCGTTCTGGCTCAGTTGAAGAGGTCTTTGAGCAAGTAGAAGAGTTAGTAAACATTATAATCCCTTCACTCCTTCTGTTTCTCTCTCTGAAACTCGTTCTCTTTCAAGCTGGAGAACTCTCGCTCTTGCCACCTAATACTAACTTATATTCTCAGTCAAAATCGGCAGGAGCTTCCAGCGATTGATAACAGCACAACAGCAACAACCATAGCTCACATATTAAATGCCAACAATCCGGGCCTCTTCCAGTTACTCAACATTCGAAATATAAGTTTAGTCGGAGATCTTGTAGGAAGACTTATTCATTTCGATCAGCGCGAACCTATCCTTCAAAGATATCAATATTTTGAACCACATCCAGTCGCAGGAACGAACGGCCTCCTCTCGTGGCTTACTTCGCAGGAAAAAATGGCGGAAGAGATCATTAAGTCTGAAAGCCGTGAATTCTTTCATTGGGTATGTCATAAATCTTCAATCGCGGTTTCTAATATTTTACTAAGCAATTTATCAGGGCTGGAATCCAGCAATCTTTTCACGCGCAGTTCGACTAGGCGTACGTGCTCCTTTCATAGTTCCATACGAGATCAGCACGGAGCCGGGTAATTGGTTTAGGGGATTCAACAAAGCAAATAGAGATACATTGGCTTGGGACATCTTATATCGTAAGTCTGAGCAATTCTTCGAGGTCGAATCTTGCATTCGCTAAAGATGATCAGAAACAATTTTTCCAAAAAGTGGAATGAAGCCAAACTGCTATGAGTTTCGGGCTTTAGTAAATGATTTTTACTCTGGAAAAGAGGTTCAACCCGCAGAGTACTACGCTCATTTGCCGGAGCCGAATACAACCTCCGCAGAAAAGGCTTCAGCGTCCAAGCTATTTCATATCACAGCAATCGATATGGGTGAATCCAGGCAAAATCTTCACCGCAACCTGTATGGTGATGCTGAGAGCATCGAATCCGCCAAACTCAAACCGATTGTAGAACTTTTTCTCATCGAACTTATCCAAATGAACGAAATTGAAAATGCGCTCATTCGTGTAGAGAAGGATAAACGCATGGAAAAGTCAAGTTTTACTGTCGCCAAAGTCCAGGGTACGGATGTTCGACGTTCCTCAAGGTATCATAAATGCCTTCATAAACTCAATACTTTGGAAAGAACCAAGGAGGAATCAGGAGAAGCTGCGGCTAGAAGTGTCTTGGAAGATTTTGTTCAAAATATCAACATCCATGGATTGGACTCGATAATTGGATCGGAAACCTGGTCTGTAACTCACATACGTACCGCTCAGACGTTAGATGAGCCTGCCGAGGAAGTTACAGTCGTTGAAGCCATTAATTCTGGCACACCTAATAATGGAGTCGGCTCATTTTCACCTCGTTCTACTTCGCCGCTGTTGATTCCAGATATGTCAGAGCCAAAGCAAGAGACAGCGCCAAGAAAGAAGAAGAAGACAAAGGGTAAAAATAATGCAAAGAAAGTTATGAAGCAGGAAAGCGATCCTGAGTCTGCAGTGGCGGAGACTAGAAGTCAAACTTCTGAGATCATTAGCAAGGCAACTCCTTCCATTGCATCTGATCCATTAAATTACCATTTCGACGATGCTACGAATCCCGTACTAGAGGATGACTCGAATTGGGAGATCGTGAAACCCAAGCCTAGTAAGCCAAAGGGCCCACAAGCTACTCAACAGACTCGTGCAGCATATTCTTCCAAAGCTTACAAAGATACTTCCATTACTGCCAAAGTCTCACCCAGTTGTAAAGTTGGTCGAAAGAAGATAGAGGTACCCACAAAAATACCAAATCAGACTACAGCCGCTACTTCAAAGCGGGGCGAGAAGTTTGAGGTCCAGAGCTTGGAAGATTTTCCACAAATGGTCTCGCCTTTAAAGAATGACATACAACAAACCTTTGAAGCGACCAATAAGAAGTCTACTGTCATAACGGTACAAGAGGTCTTGCCACAGGTAGACTCGGAAATTCCAGCCAAAGGAGAGTCTACAATCCTGCCAAAAGAACCTTTTCTACCAAGTTCAGACCTTGATACCGGAGCCATTATTGAAGCTGACAATGATCACGGTGAATCAAGGGTTTCAATTCAACCGTCAACAGTCATATTGTCACCCGTATCTTCGAGAGAAGAAGTCAGTCTCCCTATTGAAGATTCGGCCGAAGATGTCTCTAAATTCGCCAAGGTTGGGGCTTCTCCAGACGTTGAACCCACTCAGACCTTGATAGATGAAATTAAGGAAAGAATATCTATCGACCATGGTGTCATGAAGGATAGATCTATTAGTACAATGGGAACAGAGCCTAAAGTTGAGAATGTCACTACGATTTTTCCGGAAAGATCGTCACCTCTTTGTCAAACACCTCCTGGGCGTACTTTGAGTCGTGATGCACCAATTTATCTGGGGAATTTTGATGATCCCGATCAGAAAGTCGAAAAGAGATTCCGAAGTTGTTCAACTAACGCCACGATGACCGCAGGTCCCTCTGACTCTGACGATGATGAGGAAAACTCTGATCCTATTAACCTTCTTGAAAGACCTGCGTCCGTTTCTGAGAATATGATCACGAAATCTAAAGTGAATAGCTCCCCTAAAGTCTCCAATTCAGAAGTATATCCACGGATGCTGCCACTAGCACTATCAACGGTTTCTGCTGTTAATAAACTCAGACCAGTCCACGATCTTCGTGCTGTTGACAATGCTTTTACGATCGCTACCTCATCCGTCTCTGATAATGCATCTGTGAACAACATTGTCAATAACGCATCTGAATCTGCAGAACCATTCGTCTCAGAGGCTTGTACTGGCAATGAAGACACCTCGCTATCTCCGGAGACCGCTCCGATGCTTATCCGTGAGCCTGCTATAACTACTAGCTCTACATTGACTATTCATGAGCCGCGACCTCGGAGCTTCCGCCAATCTCTGATGAATTTGGACTCCCTACACTTGAGTCGTACAGAAGCTGCCACGCTGAGAAGTCAAACACCTGCTCGACAAGCAAGTATAGCAAGTTGTGATGCTGTAGGAAAAAACTCATCTGAATTTTCCAATGGTTGGAGTCGGCAACAACTATTAAGCAGTGCCATCATTAATTCAGGTCCTCGAACACATACGGAACCAGACACAGCTCGAATACCCTTCGACTGTACCTATTGCAATGGCCACCACTACGCTACAATAGACAGTCCAATGGTCCTATGCTATGGCTGCGGTCCCAATAGTGGTATCAAATATTGTTCGATCGCATGTCTTCTAGCAGAAAGCCTTGCTCATGCCAATGTCTGCCAAGAGATTGTGGATGACTTCGAGACATTTACAATTAGTCGTCCATCTGCATATCAAATATATTACACTGGTACTCTCGCGGCTCCTCTTACGTTCGGAACTACATTCAAGAAGTCAATCTATGCCTACCGTCAAAAAGTTTTCGCAATGTACTGTCGTAGCGGACCATTTCCACAAGTTCATAAAGCATGGGCTCGACAAAACAACACTCTACCCACTCTTCCGGAACGAGATGCAATTGAGTCTACCAAGAAGACCGGTAGTTATTTTGTATTCAAATCTGCTTTGACAAGTAACAACAATCGTATGAACCTGGACAGCACAGTCATCTGTACGATCAAGTTTCGTCCTAACGATCCTATGGTGCAAGCGGTCGATCGATGCCTTGAATCTTGCTTCAGATTGAATCACGACCATGACTACGCTGTCAAAGAATTCTTGTATAGACTCATCAAGGATCTGCTTTCTGACGATGAATCCTTTGATTGCTTTCCACACACAGAAGATCGATCAACTGTATTTCATGAATTCCAACATCAATATGATCTAGAATTCGGTTTTAACGCTGATATGCAGAGCGCACGATCTGAAAAATTCGACTTCGAGTCGGAGTGGTCTCTCATTGAACACCTTTTGAGTCTATCAGAGTCGGAGGAATTGGTCTAGATGTCGGATGCTAAGACGTTGGATATCTTGAAAAGCATGTTGGTTGTTGGGCATTATATTAAATGACATCGTGAGACATAGTACAAAATCTTGCCTACTCATCTTGCTACAGGTCCTTCACCGTCACAACATCAATATTTCAGTCGCGATTAAACATACGTTCGTTTTGATTTGGGGGAGAGAGGAGATTCATACACTGGAGGTAAATTTGCGATCTTCATACAGCGCATATGTCTGCAAAAAGTATACGACGAGAACTGCTTTCCAGGATAAATTTATGATGTCTCAGATGGAAGCAGGTATAATGATTTCGGGAGTTTTGATTCATATTCGCCACATGAAAGGTCACACATATTAGAGAGGGTGTCAGTCTTCAATGGCTATGGGTGATACTTGAGTGGTATGAATACGATACAGCGGAAAACAAAAAGAGATTACATTCGCATTGCATCTTCATGATTCACCGATGGCGTAGCTTAGGCTTCCGTCTGTAGTGAACTCATGAGGCCGGTAGGAGTGCTTCTTGGGAAGTTACTTTCTACCTGCGCGGTGGAACTCATCATAGTAGATAGAAGAATTCATATTGTTCTATTAACCTTGTGCTTTTGATGACCTGAATGATTGTAAATGTATAGGTAGGCAAAGAGACAAAAAATTCAGATGATCCAAGTGAGTAGCTGTGAACTACAACCCTTGCACTCCTAGCAATTCTCTGAATTACGATTTCCCGCATATTGAATGGAAGAGTAGTAAGTTCATATGGTTTTGTAGACACTAAAATTCTATTCTTACATTGTTATTGTCGGTTTTGTTCGAACATCGTTTGTAGCATCTAACATTGATGAGTGTTCTATAGCAAAGCACATTTCTACATACCTGTGTAGTAGTTCCGTAATTTTGCAGTCTAATCATGAACAAATGGTGAGTGGCTTTAATGCGTGCTGTATTGGCTATAGATTTTAACATAACATAACAGTATTGATCATTTGACTTGAATCCTCGCTGCTTCCTTGCTAAATGCCGTGGTTTGGAGGATGTTTAACACTAGGGGTGTGGATTTTTGATTTTTGATTTTTTGAATAGGTAGGAATTAGATAGTAGAGAGGGGGTGTGGAGGATGAAAAAAGAGATGGTGTTGTGAAAGTTAGGTACCTATGGAAGGTTAGTTGATAGCGGGTAGGGGGTAGGGGGCGAGAAGCTGACGTGATGCACAGTTTGAAACGTTAGGTGAGTTTGAGGTTAAGAGAACTGGGAGTCTGAGTATTGGGGCTCAAAGAAAGGAGAGGTGGGTATGCAGGTATACGGGCTATTCTTTGAGGGGAAGAAGGGAAATTACCTGTCCTGATGAGATATTATTCTAGTGGGTTTCAAACATATTGTCATGATGAACGGCTATCAGTACAGTCACTCACTCAAACGCAAAGTAAAATGGTTTAAACGTCCATACTTTCAAGTAACATATCAAAATTCTCATTTCCTTGAATCTTCAATCTCTATGAATCTTTGGTTCGATATGATGCAGATTTTGTTCTATCCATCCCATGCTGTGAATCAAGCGAGATTAAGCACAAAAGGCGCACGCACCTTAGTCTGCTCATCTTGTCTATCCTGGCCGGAAATACATCGAAAGTAGAAATTAGAGGAAAGTAAGACCACCTGTCAGAACTTAACCCAAAGATCGCATAAAAAGAAAACAGATATCCATCCACCCAAACTCTATCTATCATCCATGGAAGGAAGCTGAGAGCGAGATGGAGGTTTCAAAGTTTGAAAATCGAATGCGCCCAACGCCGGGGGTATATTGCTGAAAAAGACATGCCGCAGGTGTAAAATAGGAGTCGTGGCGGTAATATTATGTGTATGAAGGACCAAATAGGCTGACGGGACGACTGAGGAAGTAGGCAAAACTTGGCAGAAAGAGTCGTAATTGAAAAATCCTGGCCGTGCTTGCAAGTTGATCTGATCCAGTCATCTGCCATCGACGTTCTCGAGTCCTTTTACTGTTGCGGAGACACACCGCTAGTACCATCAGAACTCTCGACTCCATCAGCATTAAGGGCATCAGGATTGGTTTTCTTGTGTTCAAGCTCCATTTCTGCCACAGGCCATTATTAGCTCTTCTCTTGCCAAACTCAAACTCAGAGCCATCACTGCTAGAGATAAGATCTGAGGTAGCCTCGCGACTACCAGCTAAAGAACTGTGAGAGGAACTAAATAGGACACCAGAAAACCACTCTACTGAGTAGCTGTGTTAGGGTTGACCTGGTATAAATAGAAAAGAGAGAAAACAAAGCAGAGAAATATTGTAACTGGAGAGACAAATTGCGATATTAATCAAACGGGAAAACTTACGAGTGTCCGATTGGCCAGAAGAGGAGACGATAGGAGTGACTGTAAAGCTAGCAGTTTTATCTTGCCAAGGGTGTGCTCCCATTGTCTGCGCAGCTGAAGTTGGTGGAGTTCCGTAATTAGAAGTATATCCGTCACTTACCCAGCCAGCGACGACAGTTGGTGGAGGTGGGGCCATGCTGGAGACACGAGGAGGGAATACAGGTGTAGCTAATCTACTAGAAGATGACGTAACGTTCTTAGTAGCATGCTCATCTGCGTGACCTTGGCTGGTGGTATTTTCTTGCTCAATTGGAGTCAGAACAAGGTTGCTAATGCCAAAAGGTCCAGTATACGCTATGATAGGTGTATCCCGGGCTGGAACGGTCTGCTCTTTATCAAGTTGAAGAGTATCAGAGGAGGCGACCAAATTCGCAGTGGAACTCGAACCCAAGATTGGCGCTGCCAACTCTATGCGTGTCACAGCAGAATCGGGTGGCGTTGGGGAGCGTGCTGGAGAGACTGCTGGAGAAAGCACTGGAGAGTTTCTGAAACATTCGGTTGTGATCGTCAGGGTTGGTGTAGCGAGGTTAGTCTTGCGCTCAGAAGTGCGACGCTTCAAAAAGCTGACAGAATCACGTCTGATGGACTTGTGCTCCTCTTGGATGATCTTAATCTCCTCTTGCTCTACCAATTTGCGGATTTCAATTTCCGCGGGACTAATTGAAGTGGTCAGCTATGCTTGATAACCGAGAGTGCTTATAAGAACGCCGGTAGGAGTGGTTATCGAAGAGACAGAAGTATTGGGGACACAGCAAGGGAGGGCATCGTCTAGAACAAAGTATTTATGCCGTATGAAGAAGAAAAGCTGCTCTGCGAATACATAAAATGCATCCTTAGGAGAAGACGTGGCAAACGACAAAACATAAAATAATCTCGTAATCGCCCGTAGTAAAACAGATTGAAGTACGAACATATTCATGCTCCACTGATTGGCAAAGGAACAAAATGACGACTGAAACGAGTGAAGGGATAAGATTGCGGAAAGTTCAAGACTTACTTGGGGAGTTTAGGTACAGGACCAAGGTTTTGAAGGTGATGCTTTGCTTCTTCCAAGGAAGTTATACCAACTTTCTGAGAAAACGCGTCGAATTCCTGGCTCATCTTACGTAGAGGGATAGTCTTATCAGTCTGTGTTCGAATGGATGATTGACGCTTGAAGAGAAGTTAGCAATAGGTTGTTTAGGACGAATAAAATGGCCGCGGTTTGGAATAGTGCCAATGCTCAGAATTTCAAGGTGTGAAGTCTGGGAATACAAAATTGAATTCAAATCAGAATAGAGGTCTGGAAGATGAGAAGAAAATGGGATTAGGACAGGAGGATACTTACAGTCAATCTACCAACAGAATCATCTTTTGGAGAATTGGGAGAGGTTGTGTTTGTAGGAGTGCTAGTCTGACTACCACCTATCAAAGAACAAAAGGTCAGTACAAAGTCAAAAAATTCACAGGAACCAATCCACATAGAATCACTCCACATGGAATAGTAAGGAGCTCGAGAGTCTAGCTTATTATCAATGCCGATTTGATATTGTTTCATTGGGTTCTTGTCCCGAGATTGATACTCAGTCAGATCCTCGAGCATCTCGATCTCCCATGTGGAAAGTCAGCTGAATTCTTCTCTATCGATAACGTACATGGTAACTTATTTTCTTTTGGCTCCATCTATGTTTTCTTCACAGGAAAACCAGTAAAGATTGGTACTAAGTAGAGAAGAGAGATGTCTCGATGATAAACACTCTCTAGAGAACTGATATTGGTCGGGGTTGAAAGACTTTTCTTCCAAAAAGAGATTTGCAAATTTACCAAATCAAGTATCGTATTTGGAGGTTGGGTAACCGAGAGAGTGAATAGAAATCGGGTGGATACTTGATATTCAATTTGTACTTAAAATTCGTACCTACCTAGGTAAGTAGGCAGTATGATCTAAAATTAAAATGAGGCGGTGACTTCCAATTCCGAAACAATTATCACCGATAACGGCCTTCTATTGTGTTAGCAATCTCTCGGTAATTTAAAGGAGAAGTTTTGAAGGTGAAAGTGGAGGTCCAGATCAAATGAAGGTTGATACTGGACGTAGTTGTAGTGGTAGACATCTAGATAATGGGTGCTGTCTGTTTGTATATGCTTTTCAAAACAATCACAATCTCTTATTATGAAGAAAATTGCTGTTCACACCTGTTGATGGGAAACACAAAAGTGATTAGATGACAATCCGATTGTGAAAACTGCGTGAAGTTTTCATGTGTTGTCTGATAAACGGTGGCATATGGAACCCATCTGCAGATAGGGACTCTGATTAATTCGTTTTGTCGCAGATCTAAACACTGCAGTCTTAGTATCACCTTTCTGATCGGATACTCACTAGTTTCAGGAGTTTCCATCTACGTTTGACCCTCCCTACTTTGACATCACTTTAACCTCAAAACCCTTGAAACTCTGAGCACGTGATAACAAGAACTGAAGAAGTTGACCAGATCATGGTTGTGTTTCAAAGAGGACTTTCACAAAGTATCTGGATGAAGATGACCCAAGAATGGTCTAGGTAGAAAGCATTATGAAGGTTAAAATAAGACTTTATTGCCTGGAGAGAACTGCATAGACCTCCTAGAGATATTCCAGCAAGGGAGAATAATCATAACCCTATATGGCATATCTTGATAGCATAGTAGCTCATATGAAATCCATATGCCTGCGCCTATATGACTCTCCATTTCAACCATTCTGATGCAGCAGGCAGGTCAAGAAAGGAATGCACACACATACTTTGCATCTCTAATTACCCAGCAACATTGCAATTCTGTCAAATGGTTGGACACATTCGTGGAATATGTGCTATGTTTCCATATTTCTTTGAGTATTTTGGCTTTACCTTCATGCCTGTTTTCAATTGAGATGGATTTGATTGTTGTTGACTAACTTCCTCTCCATTTGTGAAGCGAGGCAACTCAAATGTCGTCAGATGATGATCGCTTACTGCCACCCCAGACCGCCCAAAACCACACTAAAAATTTCCATCCCGATGTCTCCCATCAATCGAAAAATTTGGTGCTCACTTACTCGATTTGCCTCCATACTTTACCTTACAACGACGACACAATGAACTCAAGAACATTACTCCGTCAATCATCTCGAGCTTTGAGCTCTTCCCTTCGCAGCTCAGCTGCAAGACAACCTTTGCGTTCTCAATTCCACAATAATACTTCGCTGGCCGCGCAAGTTGCGTCGAGGCAATTCCAAGAAAGGAGATTCTATGCTACGGAACCAGAGGCCAAGAAGGATGAGCCAGCAGCAGAGAAGAAGGATGCTGAAGTAGAAGACCCATCGAAGAAGGCTTTGGAGGCAAAGGATAAGGAGATTCTTGAATTAAAGGTTTGTGTTTCCAATTCAATATTATTGATCTGCTTCCTTACTACTGCTTTACACTCATTATGCTGAACACTTCGGCATTAAGACTTATGGGATATGAGCTTGCGACCCTCATCTGGTGGCAAAGGAATTGCAATTACCTGTTCAAGAGCATTTGACTAACCCCACGTTACAGGACAAGCTCCTCCGCTCCATCGCCGAATTCCGCAACCTCCAAGAGCGCACAAAACGAGATATGCAAGCTGCCAAGGACTTTGCCATTCAAAAATTTGCCAAAGATCTTGTTGACAGTGTTGACAACTTTGATCGAGCTCTTACAACTGTTCCCGCAGAGAAGCTCTCCGTTTCTGCCGAAGAACGCAATGAGCACCAACAAGACTTGATCACATTACACGAAGGATTGAAGATGACCGAGAACATCCTCATGTCAACATTGAAGAAGCATGGTTTGGAAAGATTCGATCCTTCAGTCGAGTCCGAGAAATTCAACCCAAATGAACACGAGGCTACTTTCATGACTCCTATGGCAGGAAAGGAGGATGGTACAGTTTTCCACACCCAACAGAAGGGATTTAAGCTCAATGGAAGAATCTTGAGAGCTGCCAAGGTCGGCGTTGTCAAGAATACTTGAATACTGTAAACCAAGTTTTACATTTTGCGGAACGCAAACCTAGCATTGCTCGGCGCATAGAGTAATGAAGAAGTTTACTCCGTATATATATTGGAGTAATGAACGGAATTCAGCGGAGGAATCATGATGTACAAAGTGTATAATTAAAAATGGGACTACGGTTATGTCTACTTGAGCATCCTACTCGAGCAGACACAAAATTACGGCGTTGGAATGCATAATGACTGTAAGCTGTATTACAAAAGAATCAGCTCACTCCTCTCTACAAAGATATGACAGGTTTTGGGGTAAAATATTATGGGCTGGCCTGGCTTTTGCGAGATCTATCTGCATCATCTTGTATATGTCACTCACGATCTTCTTTTCTTTTCACATATGGGAAAAGAATAAACATACCTAATGAAACCATGCAAGATTATCTTCCAAATCGATGTGAATGTTTCCTAACAACTTCCATCCTTTTTTCTCACAGTATAAAACCTGTCCTGTTCTCACAAAAGCAGAATAAGAAGTAATCTTCCAGTCGTATCGTACAATGGTAAAGATGCTTCAGAGAGCCATTCTCACCTCATAGGTTTTTCACTCTTCGCTCTCTTATCAGACGTACTATAATGAAGTCATGAATCGCACACATCACTCCTCTTGTACGTTTTCCTTTTCCTCTCCCGTGCTGTTCTACGGACCTTCATTCAGAATTCCCATTTCATTTTCATCCTCCCACCATCCATAACCTCGCCATCGTTATTCGAAGTCTACGGATTTTCCTTCAAACCACAAGATACATCTACAGCGCAAACGCTACACCCCCAACCAGCCCACAGTAGTATCTTTGCTGTAGATACTCTTACATGTAACACCAGAACAAATTTTGGAGACGCAAATGCTATTGCCAAGAGGTTCCACGTTCAAAACCGCGTTCTGAATGAGTATTTCGGACTTGAACGGAGGGGTGGCATCGTTAAGATAAGTTCTAGATATTGTAGAATAGCACTTTGGCTTAGTTGCAAAAAGAGTGCTGATGTATACTAATGGCTTTGCAATCTCGAAGTCTTTGAAAATATTGGTGGGCCTGGGGTTAAACCTTGTCTTTTCCAATTATGAAAGGCGGTTCTCTAGAGTGATATAGAGTGAATCGCAATATAGACATATAGGTATCAAATTACAAGTACCTAGGTATAGAACTGTAGTTTTGCACGAGTCTAGACCAATAGATTAGTACCAAACTAGTTTCTGGAAGAAGATTTAACAAGCTCTACATGAGACTAAGAGTTCGAAAGCAAAGAAGAAGTAAGGAAAGGATGATTTATGAGAACATGAGCAGACCTCTATGATATTATGAAATCCACATCAGGTCTCAGATAGTTCGAGATTCAAGCTAACAATCTAAAGCCACTTAATATGTCAAATTTCCCAAGATAACAGTATCACAAACATGACAGAATCGGAAAGTGCGGGGCACATGCATGACAGTGGGGTAATTTCCGCCCCTCCCTCACTTCACTTCAATCCTGATTTCGCCCCTCCATCCAAATTTCACCCCAAAAATGGCACCTTTAACGCGAGCATCTGTAGCCCTGATAACCGCTTCTTCAGCCGGGCTCGGCGCTGCTACTGCTCGACTGTTTGCATCACACGGCGTTCGTGTAATCATCAATTACCACTCCGGTCATGACAAAGCGCAAGATCTTGCTGGTGAACTGGGAGATCTTGCTCGGAGAAAACTTCCAGATAGTGAAGATAAAGATGTAGTCACAGCTATAAAGGCCGATATGTCAAAGAAAGATGAAGTGGAGAAATTGGTCAAGGAGAGTGTGGAGAAGTGGGGACGATTAGATGTTGGTGTGTTTATATCTCAAACTTCTCGATTTCTCGATCGATTAGTATTTTGGATTTGGGAATGAAGAGGACTAATCTGATAGAACAGTTGTCTCCAATCATGGCTGGACTCAGATTCGCAATTTTCAAGATCTAGATGACAATCTTGTTGAAGCAGATTGGGATCGATGTTTCAACATGAATGTGAAGTCTCATCTGTGGCTTTTCCATGCTGTGAAGCTATATCTAGAGAAAACTGATGGAAGTTTCATATCAACAGCTAGTATTGCGTGAGTAATCTCTTGTTCGTCTACTTGTATTCTCGTGATCTGGATGTGCTGGATTCATAAGGGCTAATGAGATTACATCAGGGGTGTGAAACCAGGTGGGAGCTCCATGGTATGTTCATAACTCAAGAATTCGATAAACATGAGTAAGGCAATAGCGCTGACGAGTCCCTTTCCAGGCGTATTCTGTGACAAAAGCTGCACAGATACATCTCATCAAGTCGTTGGCCCTCACGTCAACAATACGAGTAAACTCTGTTTCACCGGGATTGATGCTCACTGTATGTCAAATATTTATTGCCTCCGTCCTCAACCATATCACACGGCACCAAGCTAACTTATATTACCACAGGACTGGGGTCTCCAATTCCCCGAATCAAAAGTAGAAGGAGTGAAGAAAAAGAGCACACTAGGAAGACTCGCAACCGCTGAAGAGGTTGCTAGACAGATATACTGTTTAGCCGAGAGCGAAAGTGCCACTGGCACAAACTCTATCATTGATGGGGGAATTCATTTGGGAAAATAGGCTTTTAGAGGAACGAGGCATTATTACCCAAGAGAAATTCCAGATGTGAGCTTTGATATCATAGATTTCAATGAGCATTCGTAAATGTGTAAATGCATACTTTCCTAAAATTTCCAACTCCTACTACCAAACCAATATCACATTCATTAACCGTGCCAGGCATTGATATTAAGAAATTAGTCTAATTCAAATAAGCAGATGACACACTGAGTAATAGACCTAATTAAGTCTTCTCTGAAACTCGGTTTCTTGTCGTAAGAGACAGTACTTGAAGTAAATTATAAGCAAGGCCTTGTGAACATCAAAAGAGCATGCATATACTGAGGAGAGGCAGGGGATGGCAAACTGGAAGTTTTCTCGAATATGAATTACTTTAAAAGGCTTTCAGATATGCAGGAACAGATTTAGTATAACAATCGAGCTGTTGAAGCCCTTTCTCTATAACTTGTAAATGTTAGTCTTGAAATAGATAATCACAAACGTAAAACAAAGTGAGCTAGCTCATAGCTTGTGATGAAAGATGAGAGTTATTAATTTAGTATGTGTTCAGGTCATAACACAAAAGCTGATAGTTCTAAGAGTAAAATGATGTGGCAAAAGTATGTGTAATGCTCTTTGAGCTCCGGAACGCATCTGGAAGAAGTTTGTATAACGAACCTCCAGGATGAGATTTAGAAATCCTCCCAGATGAGCATCGAGTTCTGGTCGGAAGCAGATTTAGCATAACAAGCGAAGACTAAATTTTGCTGGTGAGCCTCGCAGCTTCAAAGAAAAATTGACAATAGAGATACGTTGAAGAAGTTCTAACAAGGTGTAGTTTGAGGGTGCAATCTGAGGGTCCAGTTTAGGAAGCCACTAAGCCTTACAGTACGCATTCAGGTGAACATTACATTTTCAAGCCAGCGTGATAACGAGTCATTGAAGAAGCATTTTTAAGATACATGAATCGCCTAACCAAAAGTTATCTTCTGTCTTGTCAGATCTCTAAACACATCATCGAGAACATTTCTCTTCCTCTTCCCCCTTTCATCCTCACCATGAGTCTTGCCTTCCTCCTCTTCCTCACGATCCATTTGAATATCCTCTGCAGTCCTAGGTATCCAAGCTCTAATCTGTCCATCTGAATGAGCAGAATATATACCATCAACCGGTTCTCTCCACGCCATTGCCGTGATACGATTCCGGATATTTCGCTCACCAGTTCGAGATCGCAATGCTGCAACAGTGGGACCAGGAACTTTCAGTCGCTTGAGAAGACGACCTTCATGAAGTTCAAAAACAAGAATTTCTTTTTCATTGGGGAAAAATAGAAGCTCTTTCATGGGGGGTGTTAGTGCTGTGGGCGACACTACTATAGGTAGATTTGAGAGGTGTCCATTCTTGATCGTTGGACCAAAGCTTGCGAGAGTATTTGCACCCGTAGCTGCATCCCAGACTCGAATCCGTTCATCTTGTGCTGCAGATATGATATAGTTCCCATTATCCGTCCACGTAAGACCATTGACAGCTCCAGTATGAGCTTTGGCAGAAGCTCTTGATCGACCACCCGCCATCCCATGTATAGTTGACATCCCAATTGCATCTTCCAAATCCAATAAGCCCACTGCGCCAGAACTCTTTCGAACATCCCAGACACGAATCGTACCATCTACACACCCACTAGCTAGTATATGCTCAACATTTGGATGCCAAGCGACTGAGAGAATAGCTCCGTGATGTCCAGCTAATGACTGTGTACTTGCGCCAGACCGAAGATCTACGAGCCTGACAGCTGGATGTTGAGTCGCGCAAGCCACCAAAAGGTGTTGTGCAATGGGAGATACGGCATGTGAATAGATCACAGAGTCTAGATCGAAGTCTGCGGATAATTGGAGAGTCTCCGTGGAGTATAGTTTGAGATGATGATCGTACGACGAAGAGAGAAACGCAGCAGAATCGAAAGGATAGAAACTAAGATGTGTAATGCCATATTGATGCGCGGAAGCACTCCTGCAGACCCGAGTTAGTGGATGCTTCCCAACTGTTAGGCACAATGATAGAAATGTATAAAATACCTGGGGATCATTCCGGTTGGTCGGAATGTATATTCTGATGCCCCGGTGGGGATTTGATCAAGATTCCAAACTTTGATTGATGCATCTGCACCACCAGAAAGAAGACTATATATCTTCACGTCAGTCCAGAAGTTTCAATAAATACCATTATTCATTTCACTCTTACATCTTTCCATCAAATCTATCTATTGACAGGGCGCTTACTCCTATTTGGTGCGCCCATATCTTCGCTGGCTCGTAATCTCGAGCTTCCGTACCTGAAGCTATAGTCGCTGGAGGCTTTTCACCACCATTGAATTTTACTTTTGGAGCTGGTGAAATCGCATGGATTAATTGAGTAGTTTGAATGCGAGCAAAGGCATTTGGGCCAAGATTGCCCGTTGATCGATCAAAGATCAATTGATTCATACATTTGGTGTACGATAGAATCTTGTATTCGAAAAGAATCAATTGGAGGACATAGGTAGGTGGTAATGATAAACCTCAATGTCAATATCTACTACCTGTATGATGATGCACTGAGAAGTGTTGCTTATGTAGGAGTAAAGTCTGAAAGGATTGCGACGCGACGGTACAAATTACGCGGGGTCGTTTGATCATCGTCATACTGAGCTAAATTTCTCAAGCGCTCTAGCTGGGTAGACTCAGCTCTCACGATTCTTATTCATTTTTCACATTCTAGACATCAACATTTGGAAATTGAAGGACACTATGACTTCAAAGGCATTTTCACAGAATACTTTTATCAATCCAAATACTGAAGAAAAATCAATAGAAGGGGACAAGGTTTCACGAACAAGAAAACCATCCGTTTACGACGCTGTTGCAGGTAACGTTCCAAACACGACATTCATCGGAGATAAAGTTACGTACTGACATATGGGCCAGGTCGGATTTCCGCAGCAGGTTTCATTCCTAGGAGTGTCGTTGTCTCCTCAACGCGGGATACTACATCGTCCTCTTTAAGCGCTGTGCCTCCCGAAGCTGTGTTGTTTCGGAGCAAAAATGCGCCAACCAGGTATGCCGAATCGGACATCTATTTTGCAAATGAGCGAGAGTCTCCGAAGGGGTTGCCAGACTCCGATCTGTTAAAGTCACTTCATACCTATGCTTCAGATTTCTATTCTCGTGCAACTGCAGAGGGAGGGTCTATAGATTGGCGCAGTATGGACGAAACGGCTTTGATAGGACTGGGTATTTTGATGGAAGAAGCATCTCGAGAGATCCTAGGAGAAACGGGTGACCTGACTTTTACGGAGGGAGAGGAATTCAATACCAATACTCTTGGACGCGGTCGACGCTCTCGAACAGGCAGCATTGTCAGCTCACCCCTAGAAGCTAAAAGGCCCGCTAAGAGAAGGCGCGTCCATGATGATCATTCCAATGGATCGGGTTGAAATCAAGCATACGTAGATATTAGACAGCCACGACACAGAGCGTTAGACTACGATCTCGGGCGATTTGGGGTTGCTGTCACACTGGGTTTGGACGAGCTATTTTGGACTACAGCCAACACTCAAGGGTTCAATATGATTGACGGAAGAAGAAAATTTGACCAGTCAGGATATCAGAACGGCGAACGGGCTCGTTATCAGACTGCTTTTTACCAGCCCAATTTCACGGGTATGGAGCTATACGAGTAGGATCGAGATAAACAAGAAGGTTTGGTGGCGTGATAGATTTTCATTTAATCGAGTTAGCCCCTTCACGGTTAAGGGACCAGCCGGATACGACATCTACATCGGTATCTTCGGCAACCAATGCGGATGGTGTCTCGCCGTAGCTTTCCGATTTATTGGGACGTTCAAAGCTGATGGTGTACACCGAAACAAACTTGTGCGACCTTGGTCAAATCTCAAAATTGGCACTCACGTTCTCATTTGACACATCTGAGTAAGCTTGCATGCTTTGTGTTACACCGACATTTGGGCTGACTCTGATAGCTCAGGATAGCGTTTAGCTATCTTGCTCAAGAGAAATGAATGAATGTAATTAATCCTTGAAAATTTGACTCGGTTACCGGTAGAAAGCAATCTTCCATCAATGAGCTCTGTCAAACTAGGCGTGAAAGATTTGAACGACCGAGTTGAACAAGGTAAGGTAATTAGATGAAGGTTGGCTTTTGGTTGGGCGAAGGGTCCGAATATTCAAGTCGTCTACGCTGACACGTGGAAAAAGGTCCGTACAATGGTACAAGGTAGACCTGGTTAATCTTGGCCTTAACACTTCCCGTTTCACCAATAGTCTCTTTGTATTCTTGCCTTTGGAGGGGTTGAGAGAAAGTTCACCGTTTTCTTATCTATCAGTTCATGTATTCGGTACATTGCAATTTGCCTCTTTCACGAAGGAATGTTTCGGACGTATACAATCACTGTATACAGATACTGGTCGTATCATATAACTCATATGCGATAGCATCAACCAACAGTTCGTCTATAAGGGCCAGGATTGTATATATCAAATATTGGTGTTTTTGTGAGACAAACGAAATGATGCAGGTCTAGCTTGAGATTTTTGATTTCCAGAATCGCCATCATGTTTACTTCGCTAACAGCATTGCAATGATTGCATACCCTTCATGGTAATGCAAGTAACGAGTCAGAAAAAAGTTGAAGATTTGCGCATTTTGCATATTAACCTCCGAAGACCCTCATTGGTCACATCGGAAGTTTATCATCTGCCATGGAAAAACGAGTACCGGTTCTGAAAGCAAATTACCACCATCTGCAACCATGAGCAACATGATTTCCTCGTCGCACATTTCACCTAACCAACATGCATAGCAACATCAACAACTCAGGGCACAAGTCACATTACATGGAACAAGCACCGCCTTTTCAATTAGTGTTTAGCCGTCTTATCATCTTCCTATCGGCCATCTTAAGTCTCTCGAGCTATAACCTCAGCCTCCTAAATGATCAATCGCATTTCCCATCAGCACCATCGATCCTGTAGCTTGGAAGAAGCGGTGAGGTTACATCTTTACGTACGGATAACACAGTCCGTTTGAACGCCAGGAACGTCAGATGATCCGCATCCAGTCGTAACGATTGTCGCTGAGTCCCCGTAGTCTAAATCTATCTCTTACAAGAGTCATACTACTTCGTATGCAAATGATACGATGCAAGATAATATGTAAGTCGTGGTTTAGTACATTACCGGGTAAGAATGGCGAACGAGCTTAGATCGTGCCGGAATTTCGACAGGAAGCTTCGTGGAAAAAGTTTATTTGGCATATCCTTGTTTGCCGCGGAGTGTTCGGGCATCAGTTCAATGGAGCCGTTGCATCGGGATACTGGTTTCGATGATTTGGTTCGCTTGCAAGGGATTTCTATTATTGTTCATTAATCTTCCGTATCCCTCGAATGCTGATCGCCGACGATGTACCATACATATATGCCCAACCCAACCTTTGTGTAACGATCATCGCATCGCGGTCTCTACAGTGAGCACAAGAACTAACCATTTCGTGAATCTCAGTCCCAGATATCTTCTAGACGCCGGTACGGCATCGCGATTACATATGGCCAACAGGCTTTGAAACTCATGCCCGACTCCTTGGAGGAGCTTACGAAACATGATTGGGGCATATTTACCGTCTCCTTCAAACATTTCTTTCTTTCTCTTTCGATGATGCGCATTATTTTCTTTTGAATCTGTTCCATTATTACATGGAGTCTGAGACATTCGATGGCGCAAATTAGAATCGTCCTAGAGACTCCGAGTAGATTTTGTTTTTTCCTGTACAATACTGACTCGAGTTGAACAATAGCCGAGCTAATCATTCACTTATGAACGGAAACCCTTCGGATTCTTGAGTAAGTAGAGCTAGAAGGAGGCTAGAAATCATAAGTAAACGTATCGCTCCGTGCCTCGCGCCCGTTCCGCCGAACGTGTACTTTTGTTTTTTGTGTACCAGTACTTATCGTCATGTTCTCGGGAAGTATTTTCAGGAACGACACTGTGATTGGGGGAGAGCATGGAAGGAAAAGAAGCACTTTAAGGGCTCTACCCGAAAGCCGTTGGATCAGTTGCTAGAGTCCCCGCAGTTCTCCATGCTGATCTCATTTATCACTTCCTGGGAGCCTGGGATCTCTTCGAGTCGGATGATTGATACTGTTTGCTCAAGAAATGATACGGGGAATTGTAGATGTTGTAATCATATGATTGAGAAACAAATGAAATCATTTGTATTTAGAAAAGAAGGCAGGAGAGGCAAAAGAGGTGAAGGAGGCAAAAACATTGCGTGATGAGAGTTCTTGATTTTGATATGATCATCAATGTGGACATTTTGGTTACATTTCAATTACTGAGTTTGTGACATTGTTAGCACGCTTTGACCCTTCCAGAAAGAAATCTCTTGTGAATTGATGGCCTCCATTTTTTTCTTGTTTTACCAAGACACAGGAAGTCCGAGCCAAAGCAAGTCAGCAACGGGGCCGCCAGGGAAGGAGATGAGGATACCCAGGCAACCAGGGACTTGTTTTTGCAAATTCCTTCCTTCCAGAAAATGAAATGATGGTTCGATATCCACAACTCATCTTCATGACAGAGGGCTCAGGGAGTAAACTGGGGCATGGAGATATTGCCGATTAATTTCCATGGATTTGATGAGGCGAAGGATCCTGATGCAGGACCATCGTGCGTAGAAGAATGGGTGCTGAAGAGTGGTGCCTCCCATGTCCAAGGCATCGGTATGTACCATGACCAGGAGGCCTGTTGTCCATCATAAGCTGGTGGGAATTTCTTGAGCATTTCTGGGAATCTGGGAAAATGTGAGAATGATGAAATGGCGAAGAGCTTCCTTCACGTTATGATTTGGATGCTGGGCATGTACGTACTCCATACTCCATAATGCATGTAGTTGAGAGTGTGGAATCTGTACTTCTACATATGCAGGCAACATTGAATATGCCATGATCAAAGTCAAAGTTACTGTTTTAGAGTGTTGTAAGGAGCAGGTCATACGACATTCGAGGCTGACAACCTGACAAGCCTCCAGCTTGGCTATGGGAAATACACATGAAAGTGACTGACGCCCCCGCATCCTTCTCAGTAGAAAGCGAGAAAGCTTCGAATGAGGAGAATGTGCTTGTTCTGCACTGGATAAAGTCGCTAAAATGCATTGGATGTGATTGTTCTACAGATAGGACCAGACGAGACTATCAGTCCCTCCACATTTATCATTGGGCAGGTTGAGACGACGTGCTACATCCTCTGCTTACTGGCTCTCATTCCTGGGATGCGACATGCTGGTGTACACAGATCCGGACATAATTATCAGGGTGATGATGATGATGATGATGATGATGATGCTGTTATTGTTGTTGTTGTTGTTGGGATAGTGAGAACAGTTTACTGTGAGAAACCTAGACTTTGCTGATGCGTCGGGTGGAAGTTTGGTGTTGTGTATATTTTGAAGAGAGAAAGAGATGCGATGTAGTGGTACGCTGATATGTTAAGTACTTTGACGTTGGTACAATATACACAAGGTTTGTATTTCTCATCGACAGTGACATGTTATATTTTCGCTCATTTATTAATCTCGCTCGTCTCGTCTCGTACGCAGAGTTTTTTACATATCGGAAATGGAAATGGATCGTCTACTAGGTTGTCCCACTTGGGATGACATTCAAATTCAATGGCTGGAACTAGACCCTTTTATCTATCACTTCCTCGTCCATCCCTTCGTCAGTCGTTGACATCGTATAGACTTAACTCAACAAAACAAAATAAATAATTACCCTGCTGGGCAAAGCTTACATCACGTAGGGGTCGCATTATTTGATACCAGCAGTAGTGGGATGCAAAGGTGGACGGGTGAGAGCAAGCAATTGGCAGATGGATGGATGGCAAGCTACAGCAATGAGAAAGAAGTTTGATATTGATGTTGATATTAAAATTGAAATCATTAATTGATCGAGTGGCATTCACGAATCACGACATCACATCATTTTCCAATAGCATGAATTGATCGATTGATATCTTCATCCAGCTAGCCAGCCTACCTAATACTACCTACCTCGCTCGTAGAATCAATCAACCGTAAGCCGGCACTCCTCTTGCCCCTCGCACACCTTTCCATACTTTAACTTCTTACAAGTTACAAGTTACCACGCCTCACTGCCCAAATCAAGCTCCAGCCGGCTCAGGTATCACATTCATCCTAGTCTCAACCCATTAAGCATACTCGCATTGCACCAACAGACTATCCATTATCCATTATCCCACCTTACATTAATTACATTACACTTTCTTTCCCCTGGTCAATCTAAACTATTTCCAACTTCACCACACACCACACCCTTAGCTACCCACAAAAGCATTATATCGCCTATTCTCGGGTGGTTGGCACCGGGTAACTGGGCACGAAAGCTTTCGTGAATACTGAATAGTGAACACTGCACCGACATTGAACACCACTCGAATCTTGAATCGCGAAAAGTGCGCTGCGACGCGGAAGAGAGACGTCGGAGAGACGAATCAAACAACGCAGGTCTTGGAAGGGTATACGACAGCAACCAACATCTAACATCTAACAACCAGCATACCAGCATACCAACATACTACTAGCCTCCTGAGCCTTGCAACTCGATCGTATCTTCTTCATCTTCAACGGCTTTCGAATGCGCCGTATCAAGTAACACCGGCACAGGCACTATACATTTGTCCCCTTCCATAAATTCAAAGTCACGAAGACACGGGTTAGTACGTCGATTTTCTTTGGGGATACCTACTTGCATGAACCTTCTTTTTACCTTTTACCTGAATCTTCACCTATCAAGCCATCACCTCTATCCTTATCGTGCTCTTTGGACTTTTTAACCCAAAGTTTGTGAAGTTTGCTTGATTGTTCATTGATTTCCCGTGGTGGCATATCTTGATTTTCGAAGCGTTTTCCTATCGTTTCCGAAAGTCGAAAGATTGAATTCTCTACTGGTAATCAAGGAAAATAAAAATCAAAGCAAGCTGGCATAAAATTAGGTTAGAGTCCAAGAGTTTTTTTTCTTTCTAATTTTTGAGATTGAAAAGGAGACGAGAGAGGGGGGCAACAATAAGTTTGGAGTGGAGTTATTTTGAACTTTTTGACGGGTTCAAGGTTGTTTTTTTCTTCATTTTCTTCTTTTCTTGCTCTTTTGAACAATTTGATTGATTGATTTGATCTGTATGATTGTGGTGGGGAGAGACTCACAAACGGGACATTTTAACTTTTCTAGCATTATCATAATCATCTCTACTATATCAGCAGGATCCATTTCCATTCAAAGACGGCAACAACAATCCACAGCAAGAAGGCAAGCAAGCAAGAAAGCAGAACATCATCCATCCACCATTGCTGCACAAAACTCACGCCTCGGTCATTAAATGACTGGTTCGGGATAATTGCTTGCTTGCTTGTTTGGTTGCTCGCTTGCTCGCTCGATCTGTTTTGCCTCCTTTGCAAATCGAATCCATTTTGTTTCTGTTCATTTATATATTGTGTTGAATTTTATTGTATTGTGTTGGATTATATTGTGCTCGCTCACCTATATGTCCATTATATTTCTATTGTTATTTGCGCAATGCGATAGTTGATGCTTTGATTTACAATACTCTCTCTCTCTCTCTCTCTGTCTGTCTTTCTTGTCCGCACTCTCTTTCTTTCTTTCTCTTGTCTCTCTCTGCTCCTCTCTTCTCTTCGTTCCTCTCTTCTCCTTCTAACAATCCATATAGCAACAGAAGAAAAGAAAAAGCGCCAAGAGATCCTAGAAATACGTACATACACACACACATACACATACATACTCACCTACCTACCTACTATCTACTTACTACCTACATACATACACAAACGCAATCCCAAAAATCATCTTGAAATCTGATTCGACCATTTTACTGTACCTCACTACTCTCACACTACTCGTACACTACTCAACGTACCGTGCCCACTCCCGCTCTTGACTAAGGTGTAAGTACGTACCAGGTTACTCTTAGATCCGAAAACCTCAAACTCAAAACTCAATCTAAAAAGGATACATTAGCTGGATACATAATACCATCCCACCTTCACGCACGCGAAAGAAAGAAAAAAGAGGGAAAGTTTTGAAGAGAAACGAGAAACGAAGAAAACGAAGAAAACGAAGAAGACGAAGACGAAGAAGAAGAAGAAGAATCCTTGACTCCCTGAATCCTAGCTCCCTCCCGCCTCAGCTATTAAAGTTTACAATTTACGAACGCACCCCCCTTCCCCCCCCCAAAAGATCCCAGGACCTAGATAACCACTTATTATTTATTCGATTATTCGATTGTTCAATTATTGCCAATTATCCTTTTATTTATCCATTTATTATTCGTTTATTATTTATTTTATCCAATTTTCTCTCAACCTAAAGGAAAACCCCCCTCAAGAATCATTATTCATAAAATCTTTCTCAGCAAGCAAGCAAGAAAGAATTGAAATAAATGAAAGTAACCTAGAAAGTTGCATTGCAGAGCAGATCTTGAACTCTACTTGAAAGGGTTTAATCAATATCCAAGGTAATGTATGTTTTAAATTTTCTCATGGTTATCACTTCTTCTGTCGCGCCTTGCTCCAGCGCAAAACTGTATTCAAGGGACCACTTGCTTGGTACCCGGGTAGCTCTTAGATAGCTTATTACTCCTCTACCTTACCTTACCTTACCTTACTTTCCGAGGGAAACATGGCTGATCATCTCAAACCCTGTTCAAGCAGACCGGTTTACCATACCATCTAACCTTCACTACTCAGTTGCGCGGCATTCGTTACATCACACACATGATTACCTACACGTCAGTCCGTAATACATACTTGCGCAGATGATTCTCCACTGAACTCTTCTACGCCTCTGTGTTCTCCCTCGAACCTGTAAGAAGCCGCCGCGCTCGACCGCAGTCCATGGCCTTAGCTGTTGTGGTCACTTAACTTTTTTGTATGAATCGCAATGATGGACAATGGTCAACCAGATCCAAAGCGACCAAGATTGGGACCCGGTCCTGCTTGGCCGATCGAGCAGCCCAATCAGCCCAACCCTTCCAGGGCCCTTCCTCCCTTACAACCTCCCTATAATAGCGGTCCATTCTCTCGTCCCGATTCTCATGCCCACCCCCTCGATAGACGACCTCCCCACCCCAACTTTCAAGAACATCAAGACCCTCATCGCCCTAACTCAGGACATGCGCATGTCTACCACAATATACATAATCAACACCCACCACCACCTCCCATACCTTCATACAATGGACACAATGGGCACAATGGCCCTCGAGAACCCATCGTGAAGCCGGACCCTTCAGAAGAACCTCCTCAACACAGGCCACCACCGACAACCAATGGCACAGATCATCATGTAAACCTCCCTTACGCTGAAGAAAGAGGAAGGCCTTTTCCACCAAGATTCGATCAACCTCCACCTCCGCAGCATACTCCGCAACACACTCCGCAGATGTACAATAATAACCCCGCTCCTCCCATGTATCAGCCTCAACCCCCGCCCCCCTCTACAAGTCCCATGACGACACCGACATTCGATGGAGCTATGTCAATGTATGGTCCACCACAAGGTCATCCCCATCCTCCACCTCGGGAACAGTATTCAGTCACACCTTATTCTCAACCTGCAAAGCCTCGGAAAGCGCAACGCGCGGCTCAGGCATGCGATAGCTGTCGCAATCTGAAGGCGAAATGCGACGAAGGGCGACCGGCTTGTGGTAGTTGTAAAGAGAAGAATTTCGAATGCCATTATCGAGATCCACCACCCAAACCGTAGGTTCAGAAATATATTTGGAATGATACGCTGCTGACCACTGTAGAATCGATAAAGCTTCCACGGACATCATCGAGGCCTTGATACGATTGGAACACCGCAATGCAGAGTTATTCAATGTCTTGCAGACAGGTCTTGAATCATTGAACAAGCGAGTGGACGAATTACAGGAAAGAGTTGGAGCTGGCCGGCCTCTATCAAGTATCGAGGGGCACATGAAAGAAGAAGGGAGAGACGATGTTCAATTACCTGATGGTGAATTCGGACCATCTTATGGCTCGAATTCGAACATTCTTCATGATGCCACGCTCATAGATCCGCCAGTGGTAGGTCCAGTACAGCCACTCGAAGGATCCACGCCTGGTGCGCTCGAAGAGGAGGAGGAAGGCGACCCTGTGCCGCCCGGGCAACCATTAATACCAGTCAATCACACGACGGGCGCAGCTAGGCTCTTACTAGTCCCTTCTGTAAAGCAAATGATCAATGGCGGAGGGGGCTTACCCAAGAACGTGAAAGACGAAAAATACCCAATGCTGCAAGAGGAACGACGCGGACTTCTAAGGTTATTCGGAAGAGGAGAAGGAATTGATTTGGCTCAAGGCTATGATCGAGATCCTATGACGGATCACGCTGATTCTACAGTCGATACAAGCTCTGACGTTTCTTCTCCGGCTGGTGAAGAATGGGGTCAACTGGGTGGTATGACGCCACCATCTAGTGCGCCAGATTATCCTCCACCAGTTATTGGCAGTATTATGTCGGATGGGATGCCTGATTTCCGAAAAAGTGTAGTTTTGGACTTGGTCAAAAGTTACAAGGAGCACATGAATATTATGCATCCAATTTTGATACCGAGGCGGCTGGATGCTCTGGTCGAGTCCTTCCTCAAATCCATTCCATCAGATTCCGCGAAACCAAAGCAGGTTCAGAACTTGGCCTCGCAACATACCAGTCATGCTGGTTTTGTGAGTATGAAACCGCCTGAGAGCCCAGGGAGCAAGCGAAAGAGATCACCGGGAGTTGGAGAACCTCCAGAAATCTCAGTTGCCGGCGGTTACGGGACATTCGTGAAGCCAGGACATCCCAGTCGGTCAATCAGTACAGCTTTAGTGCTGGTGGTATTAGCGCTCGGCAAGATTTGTCAAGAAAGGCAGAAAATTCCCGAGCTTCCTTCCGACAAAGATATTGAAAATCCTTGGGGTCACATCAATTCTCCAGTTGTACGAAACGGTCATCCGTCCCCTATTCAAAGCTCTCCAACCCAGTCTTCAGAATTACCATCACCTCAGGAAAATGTTGATCGATTCTATCCCCGCAGTCGAAGAACTTCAATAGAAGGCGATTCATATTTGGCAAGAAGTGGCTTCAGACCTAGGAATGTGGATGTTATTCCCGGCTTGGCATATTTCGCACTGGCGACAGATATTATTGGAAATCAACTTGGAGGAAACAGTCTACAGCATGTCCATGTGAATATTCTAGCTGGTCTTTATCACGGACAACTTGCAAGGGTTTTAGAAAGTCATTCGTACATTCATCAGGCTTGTAGAGCTTTACAAGTTATTTTGAGACCGTAAGTCTTCGCCAGGTTCTGAATGAAATACGGCTAACATAGACATTAGGAAACTGGATCGCTTCAAAAAGTTAAAGCAAGATGGGCTCCCCGTGCTGGCAAAGGATAATCCGCTGATTTTCGCATTTTGGACGTGCTTACAACTTGAAAGGTATGTCTATCTCGTCTAAACGGTAAATCGGAATTCTAACATCACATGATAGCGATATTGTAGCAGAATTACCTTGCCCGCATTCCGGAATCCTTACGTTCGAAGAAAATATGCCAAGTCCAAATATCGTTGAAGCCGTGAAAGAAGGTTTCGATCAGATGGTTTTGTTGAGTTATCAAGGCCAACTTTACCTACGCAAGCATCTCAATCAATTGCACAACATGTTCTACAAACCCGATAATGGTATGTTTAGTATTTCTTAAATTAGTTGAAAACTACTAATCTTTTCCGGAAGACTCTCAATTTCCTTCTGTATATACCCGCCATGATCCCAACCATTTCGAGTCGATAGCCACCGCAGAAGAATTTCTTTATCGATGGAAAGAAGC